GAGATATAGGTTTGCTTCATGTCGAACGAGCTTCCTGGACAACGTTGTCGATCAACTCTTTCAATCAAAAGTTTGTTGGGTTTTGTTTGGAACCGAAAACAGGAAAGTTCATGAGAAGAGACTGTTACGTTCGATCTTGCTCAAATGGCGAAGAAGATGGAGAACTGGGGAGACCGGTAAGGGATTGGGAGACCAGAATGTTGAATGAAGTATAGGGGGTGGCAGTCGTTGGATATGAAATAGGGAGGAGGTGGCTCTAACCTGTTGGTTTTGTTTAAATCCGTCCCTGCAACTAACCTGTTGGTTTTGTTTAGCTGGCACCTTTTGTGACCACAATTGTGAGAATGTAAGCAATTACTTTAATTCAAAATTATGAGTTATGCATTCCTTAGACTTTTGACAAATAATTAAATATACCCAAGGTTTCTAATAGGATTTAAACATGAGTTTGAATTTCCTCGTCACAAAATGGTCCTCACACCCACCCCCACAGCATGTTACAGTTGCACATCAAAAACATCTCCCCATGAATTTAAATATACAAGTATGGGAACCTATATGTGAAGGAAATTGAGTGGATCAACGATAGGAACTTAATTGAGAAACCATAGATATCTATCAAAATGAGAGGATCCAATAGCTTATGTAAGGGTTGTGGGAGATGATTGCAGAGAGTGCTACAATATGATTACAACTAGTGTTTAGGAAACCGGATTGGACCGGTTGGTCAGACTAGTTAAACTATGACCAGGGACATTGGTCGGTTGGGTCACACCCCAAGAACTGGAATTGTCAAAACCCCAATGAAAACCGATTAACTGGACAATTTAACTAGAAAATCGATGAATCGATTCTGGTTTTATGAAACCACCTGAGTCATTAAATAATGAATTTTTAAAATATATTATTACACACATATTTTAAAGAAAACGTGAATTAAGAGGCTTGAACCCTAGCCATTTGCTTTAAAATTTAAGGGAATTGCCATCCATCTACCATACTTAAGTATGATACAAGTTATAACACACACACCCACACAAAGGTTGCTTGAATCACCATTACTCCTTGTACTCAAATTGGGAAGACTACAAATATACATGCATTCTATGCAAAACCCTATATATAGTATTTCTAAAGTTTGCATTTGCATTGTATATATTCGTAGAGAAAGCAAACTTCAAGGGAGAAAAGGTAAAGGGGAGAGAATCCATGAATGGCTTTTAATGAAGGCCATGCCTAGGGATACTATGGGCTAATATGCAATGCAGCTCTCTCTCACTTTATAGTTCAAAATATATGGAATAAGCACTTCAATAATTATGAGCCATATAAACAAAAAGTAAAATGAAAAACCAATAGGAAAAATCAAGTTCTATTAGTTTATTGTAGTATTTTAGGAGAATTCAGTGTAGAAAGGACAAGGAAGCTCTTAATTTCTCTTAGATATATCAATTAATTTTCTTATTGTTTTAAATCTAACCTATTGGGTTTGTGAAATTTTCTCATTTATTTTCCTAATTTTTGTCAATTTATAAACTTTGATTAATTCTATTATTGAGCATTTGAGCTTTAAGACCTACGCCTCAACTATGCCTTTTAAAACATTATGCATGCAAGTCCAAAAATACTCCCCACAAAGCGCTTTCCCATACATTGCAGCTACACATTAGGAACATCTCCATACTTTGTATGTTGTTCCCAACACACAACTGCAATGTGGTATGGGGTTGGTGTGGGGAGCAAATCCAAGTTTATTGCATGCATACTAGTTGGCAAATCCTTGTGATCATGTATCAAGTAGCCATGAGGCACAACCACATAAGTAGTATAGTCTTTTTTTCTCTTCCATATTGTTCATTTTTCTGGAAACCCATATACTTGGGTAAATGCACTTACATGGGTCGGTGTTCTTTTGTTTCTCGGGTAAAATCGGACAATGATCATTTTATCCATAAAAAATGTTATTATGGAAGGAATAATGTTGTCCTATCATGTATTGACAATTTTCCCAAGGAAAGTTATTTACATAAGGCTATGTTTGGTTGGAAGGAAAAGATAAAAAAGGGAAGGGAAAATCAAGAAAACCTATACAAGGTCTGTAAAGGTTTCCCCTTTCCCTACCTTTCCCTTCATTTTCCTTCAAACCAAGTATAGCCTAAGTGAGCAAAAGGTAATACTTATCTAAATAACTGATGCATTTGAAAATCCTTATTTTTTTTCATAGGACCCATTGACACCGAAAACTTACACAATTAAATTGGTCAACTGTAGTGCTGAGTAACTTGCTTGCCCGGTTGCCCCTTTTATCAAAAAAAAACAAGGCCTAAGAACTTTGCCTTTTCCACCATAGACTCCTCCCCTGCTCAAACTGTCAAACATCCATTAGTTCCATCTAACATAACAACGATAATGTATGTTGGGTATGTTTAAGTGTTTATCTCAACATTTGGGTATGTAGAGATTTTTATCCCATCAAAATTCCAAATGATTTATGCTCTTTTTGGATGGAATCTAGATTAACTACTAACAAAAATGCTACACTGGTAACATTTTCCGTGAATGGCAACATACAAGCAGGGAGAGATGTCTCCATGTGTGGTTATGGTATAAAGTGGGTAGGTGTGCAGCCAACTTACAATGATGATTGTTTGGCAAATATCAAGGTTCAAAGTATCGATATGTATCGATCGATACGTATCGTTCTGGGACCCCTCTAATATGCCCTTATAGTGGGTGTATCGGGGGTATGACCAGTTCAGGGGGTGGAGGAGCCCTAAACTGGCCCCCTTGAACTGGTTGCAAAAAATAAAAAAATAAAGGCACAAAATGCAGTATTGATTCGCTCGATATACCCCTACCGGTGTATCGAGCATATCGATATTTTGAACCTTAACAAATATAGAGAATCCGGATCTAAATGATCTAGTCCATAGGATCCGATGCTCTCACTAATTGAATTTATTTATTTTTTTATTTTTGGAGAAGGGAAGGATTTAGATCACATATTTCTTAAATGCTTTCATGCTAATTAGGTATGGAGAACTACTGGCTCTAATAGTGGGAGCCCAAATGAAGAGGATATCTCAATTCATGACTGGTGGAGTAGAATTTCAAATGGGATTAAAGCAAGTGGTGATATACCTATCCAAGAAAAAATGGTGGTTATTCTATGGTACATTTGGAAAAATAGAAACAGGAAAATGTTCAATAATTGTTTGATGCTGCTTCCTATCCTTTTTGAAGAAGCTCAAAATGTTTTATGGATATTTATTCTTGCATGGGTAGAGAGGCCAATTCAAATTATAGCAATGAGAATCCTATCCTTTGGAAGTATCCCTATGACGGTACTATAAAGTTTAATTTTGATGACTCATGTGGGAAAAATGGTTTTTGTTTAATTGCTTGCGTAGTTAGGATTATATTGGCAATAGCCACTGTGGGCACGCTTCCCAGCTACATAAACTCTGAGACAAACTATGATGAGCTGCAGTATCAGCCACATGATTTACAGAAGCTTGGGTTGCTTGGGAAGCTCATAATGTTGCCCACCCTATTGTTATTGAAGACTACTTTCCTCACCTCAGAGACTCAAGAACATCATCGGGGAGTGTCACCATCTCAGTGTGTTGATGGATCAAAATATTAGGTATAAGTATGCCTATTGTGAAGCAAACCAAGCTACTGATTGATTAATTCACCTCCCCGGTAATAATTGTGTGTTCTGTGTTAATGAATTATCTAGGGATCTAGAGTTTATTTGTTTTTGTGATTGTGATGCTTGGGGATGTACTACTCTGTCTTGTGTGGCCCCTTCAGATTTATCTAAAAAAAAAAAGAACCAACCGAGTTTGCATGAACCTTTTTCTTTTAGGTTGTATTTGGAATTGGTGTATAACATCACCAGTGCAAAAGTACACTGATGATGTTTTATACTAAACCATGAAGAAGTGACAATTGCACTTTTAAAAAGCATGATGTGATTTTTACATTGATTTTATCAATGTAGTATTTACATTGATAATCGATGTAAAACTTTAAATTTAATGAGGTTTTACACCGGTTAATGACATAAAACTCCATTCCATCCAAATGCACGTAAAATTAAACCAGAGTGAAGTTTTATATCGACCATAATTACACACTCATTCCAAATGCCGACAAAGTCAAACCAATATAAATTTTTTACATTGTTCTTGATTTACACTGATTCCAAACGCAACCTTAAAGCTTTGGGTATGGGAAAACAAAAGAGTCAAAAAGTGTTTAACATTAATAATTTAATATTACAAATCTTAAAGTTTAAAAAAGAATACAAATATCTACACTACAATACATACAAAATACAAGGTTTGGCACTTGTAACTCCTTCCAAACAGAGCCTACGTTTATCCTAAGACAACCATATCTTTCATTTGATCGCCTAGTGTCCGTGTTTCGTTGGGAGTAGCAAGAAAGGGCTGAAACAACATATGAAATTATGAATACTTCTTACACAACATTCCATTCATCCGTTAGTGTTACATACGTGAAAGTCACCGTGGTGGGTACGTGTATATGGAGTGGGTTCCAATCTGACGTTATTTCTTCTGTAGGGTACGGTACCCTAATTAAATTAACCAACTAAAACTAAATAGGAACAACGGTATCTGGATTCAATCCTCAGAAAGTTTGTCCTTCCACCGTCTTCACGACACTTGCATCGGGAACGTCTTCCTATAAATGAAAAAATAATGATTGAGATGTTCCAAATGCACGGCTGTAAATATCGTGAGATGGTGTGAAAATAAATTTGTGAGGACTGAATCAAATCTCAGAGTCAGAACAACGGGGCCACTTCAAAGGCTAACGCCGTTAAAGATCAAGGAATAAATTAACGATTTGACGATTAACACGAGTCACGACGAAACCTGAAACCACGGGGGGTTAACGGTTCGTCACGGAGATTTCAAATCAAAAAGGCCTGCCGCCCCCCAACGGAACTTTGAAGTTTGAAATCTGAAACCACCTTCTCACTCTCTTTTATCCCCTCTGGTATCGAACGGTTCGATAATAAACCGAAAGAAGAGAAGCCCTTGGAATCCTCCATTAATGACGGATCTCTGCTTTCAGTAAAGGTGACTATTTCATAGTTTTCTTTACCTTCCATTAAATTTTAGGTATCTCTTTTCTCTCTGTTTTCATTTCACAGCAAGTGAAGCTAACTGATCGTTGTCTCTGTCTTTCATGATTCAAAAGTTTGTTTTTTGAGCTACTGGTTTCATTTTGTTGCATTTATCCTTTTTGACTGTTATCTTTCACTGAACATTGTCGTCTCCATAGGCTCGGGTTTCATGTTCCAGGGGGTTACTGCGTTTTTATCTGAGAATTTAGGGATTCTTGTAGGGAAATTAGCTTCTGTTTTAACTTGCTTCTGTGATTTGAGGACAGTTCAAAGACTTGACGTTCAATATTTTCTTAAAGGAAGAAAAGTCCCTTACTTGTCCCAAAAAAAGGGAAGAAAAATCTCTTAGCCTTAGTTTTGTATTTGTAGATCAGAATACTCATTGATTTTCTGGTTTTTATGAGTTTTCGTAATAAGTCCAGCGACTTTATTTTTAGTTTAGATTTACTGTTCAGGACATGTCTCTGATTTTCTATAATATTCCATAAATTTTGCATCAAGAATTATTATCAAAAAAGAAAGAAAAAGAAATTTTTCATCAAGAAAGTTATTTTTTATTTAACAAATTTTTAGATCTGATAGTGAGCATACAAGAGACCTTATGCAGAGACTATCCTCACAAAATTCATCCTGACACTGTCTTCACGGCCTTTGCAGCCGTGCAGTGGGAATATCTCCCCACAAATAAAAACATGCAAGTACAGAGACGTCCCAATGCAGGATTGCAAGGACTGTGAGGACTAAATCTGAGTTCATTTTATGTTCCTTTAGTGAACATTCTTTTAGAACTTCTTTTTTATGTTTTATTTCTCAAAATTTGTTCAGTTTGCATTTCCTTCTCCAAATCATGTCACTTGATATTGTGAGGGAAGTATCTCTGTAGTTAGTGTTTTAAAATCGAGGACATGAAAAGTTTGGACTTTGGAGTATTTTGAGTTCTCAATTTTGTTCAGAATTTTGAGAAACGTTCTAACTGTTTTCAATAAATAATCTCAAGTAAATCGTTTCTTGTGACTTTTCACATATTTTTTTCTCAAGGCTTACCTTACACGACTACCACATAGTTTCACTAATCCGGTTCTCCATTTTGTGTGCCCCAGTTTTTTCTCTGCTCACATAGGCTTTTGGGAAATTCATACTGAAAATGGATGGTTTCCATAAAGATGAAGAGCTGGATGAAATTAAAACTGCAATGGAGAAGCTCAAGGAAGACTATCGGATCAAGACAGAACTGTATGAGAGCTTGAGAAATTCACACAATGAGCAACTCATTCAAATTCAAGAAGCAAAGACTCAGATTGAGAAGCAAGCCCAAGAACTAAATGCAAAGGTAGAAGAAAATTCTCTTCTATGGCAAAAATGTGAAGATCTTAAATCTACGGTGCAAGAAAAAGAATCAGTTCTTAGGCATCTGAGTTCTGCTAATGATAAACTCCGAGCTGACTGTGGTGAGAAGTTGCATAAATTGGAAGGAGAAAACAGAGAGCTGTTAACTGCTCTAGATGAGGCTAATATGCAAAGCAGAGATCAAGAAGAGAAGATTCGCATATACAAGGATGAGATTGAAGGTTTAAAGGGACTTCTGTCTGTTTCACAGAAGAAGTGCTTTGATGCACAGCAAAGGGCACAGGCACCTAAAGAATTGAGGCAAAGAGATGATCTGTTATTGAAACTAGAAGAGGAAAAAAGCAAAGTCGATGATCAGCTCAAGTGGAAGAAGGAGCAATTTAAACATCTTGAAGAAGCTCACCAGAAGATTCAAGATCAATTCCGAGCAAGTAAGAGGGAGTGGGAGCTGGAGAGATCCTCATTAGTCGATGAAATCTGCTCACTGCAGACAAGTTTGGATTCACAAACTAGAATCTCAGAAGATCTTCAATCACGTTTAAAGATGTGCAACCAAGCCCTAGCTCATGAAGAAAGTCGCAGAAAAATTTTGGAACTTCAACTGTTAGAATCAAAAGCAAGTTATGAGAATGTTTTCACAAAGTATGAAGAAGCAAAATCAAAGATTGAAAACCTGACGATTCAGAGGAATGAAGAAATTGCAGCCCTGAGAAACTCATTGGGTGGAAAAGCAGCAATGCTCAAAGAAATGGAATTCATAAGGGGGCAACTTGAGCACGAAAATCAGGACTTGAGGCAATCTCTCAGAGAACTTCAGGAAGCTAATATCAACAAAACAGGAAGTGCTTCTTCACTAGCAAAACTGCGTAACAAGCTTAAAGGTTTGGAGCAAATTCACAAGGATTGTTTCATAAATCTCAAAGCTAGAGAAGCTGAATGGAATTCCCAAATAGAGAAATTGGCAGAAGAGCTGAATGAATGCAGATCTGAATTAGATTGTAAAGACAAAAATGTGCAGAAGCTACAGAGGGAGTTGGAAAGTTGCTATTCTTCAATATCTCAGTCAATGTTGAAGAATGAAGAACTGTCGGTGATGCTTACAGTGTTGCACTCAAGTCTTTCAGAGGCTCATTCAAAGCTCTCAAATGTGATGGCTGAAACAGAACTGTCAAACAAAGACACTGAAGAGCAGATCAAACTTCTCAAAGAGCAGTTGGAAGAAAAGAAAAGTGATCTGGTAAAATCTCATGCTGAGATCAAACAAGAACGAGAGAAGGCAGAATCATTAGCAATAAGAATTGAATCTTTGGATCTTATTGAAAAGCAGCATTTTCTCACACAGCAAGAACTTGAGAGGTTCAAGGCAATGCTCAAGGAGTCATCTGAGTTGAACGAACAATCTTTGAAAATGCAAAATGCCCTAAAAGAAGAACTAAGAAAAGTTTCTGATGCTCTAGACAAAATAAATTTTGAATTGGCAGAGAAAAGCCGTGAAGAGAAAGAGACTGAATTTGAATTGGACAGGTGGAAGTCTGTTGCCGAGCGTCTAAAAGTATGCCTTGATGAAAATCAGGAATTTCGTAAAGAAATGGAAGCTTCCCTTCTTGCCCAAGCTGAGACTGAGCAAACCCTCAAACAAGAGAGGGAGAAATTAATCCGTGCCTTGGAAGACAAAGAAAAAAGAGTTGACCATCTCCAGCAGAAGATTGTTTTACTCAAGCAAGAACTGAAAGTAAAAGAAACCTCAACTCTAGCAAAAACAGAGACAGAGAAAGCTTTTGAAGAAGAAAAAGAGAAGCTTCTTCTTCTTGTCACAGAGAAAGACAAGAGCATAGATGAATTCCAACAAGAGGTTTCTTGGCTGGAGCAAGAGTTTGCAAGAAGAGAACTTGAAGGTGCCATTCTAGCTCGAACAGAAGCAGAGAAAGACTTTGAGAAAGAGAAAGAGAGGCTTATCCTGATTGCAGAAGAGAAAGATCAAAGCATAGAATGTCTCCAGCAACTGGTTACATCATTAAAACAAGATTTCACAAAGTCAGTTAAGGTTGCAGTTCTCTCAGAACTTGAAGAGAAACAGTCTGAGATTAGTATGCTTCACAAAGCGTGGGAGAAGATCATCAGAGCCATGCTTCTGGCTGAGGTAGAGATTCAAGAGAAAAACTTGGTGATTGGTGAACTTGAAGATGAAATCAACAATTTTCATAAAAAATTAGAATTGCAGGATAACTCTTTGTCCCATTCAACAGTACGCATAAAACAGCTTGAAGCTGTACTGGAAGGAAAACAGTTGGAAATAGAGAAGATAATGGATAGTCTTGGAAGCGAGCTTAGAATCTCAAAAGGCTTAGTAGAAGAGATTGAGTCTGAGAAAATACTTCTGTTAAGAGATATTAAAAAACTGTCATCAGAGAGGGAAACCTTGCTGGCTCACATTGAGTTCCTCTATGATCAGATCAATGAGTTTTCCAATGAAGAGGCAGAACTTATGGGAAGCTTGGGCAGGATAGTGCAGAAATTTGACCCGGAGGATGGACAACAGGAGATGGATTTGAAAGGGAAGGATGAGCTCTATGATTCCAACAGAGAGAATGTAAATAAACCTCTTTCTACCATGATGACAAAAGTTGAAGCAAGTCATGATGTAAGATCACCATTCAGAGAGGTCAACAACTAGCTGCTGGAACTGGAGAAAATTCTTCTCTTATGCAGCAAGTATAACAAGGTATTTTATTGTGAACATATTAATGGCCAATGGTCATTGCCATGTGAGAAAAATGCATGATGTAATGAGTTTTTTGTTTTTCCTATGATAGATCTATGCATGCATGATGCCCCAAGATTATATTAATGTTGAACCCAGTCTAGCTCTTTTTGGATACAGTAGAAGTACCCTATTCCCCCAATCTGACTGTGGAGTCCCCTGGAGTGCTACATACATTGCTTTCAGTCTCTATGCCTTTATAAACTCATTCTAATGGAGAAAATAACTATACCATGCTACTAACCACATACATGCACAGGCATGTATGCACATGTGACCAAACTAACCCTACTGCACTTGCTAGCATATTTGGGAAGTGAATAGTTCTACCAACAAGGGGGAGTAAGGAGGCCATGTCTGCTCATAAATCATAAAATGCAAGTTATAACTGCAAATAGTCATACACAGGCCATGTCTGCTCATAAATTAAAAAAAAAAAACATAAAAAAAAAGATGATTTATGATAGGTGGTTACGTCTCCTTTTGTGATTTAGGGCCTCTAACTTGCTAGCATTAGTCATAATTCTGGAGAAGAAAATTTAAAAAATAAACAAACCAGTATTTGACAGAAATTAAATCTTGTTCTACATCCATGCTGGATTGTCCTTGCGGCTGTGTTGTAACATCACCTGATATTGTTGTTGTGATGCAGCTGAGTATTAAATATCCCATAACGTAACTTTTATGGTGGCTTGGATCCTGAGGAACCAAACAAATCCTTCAATTGCAGCCCTTCATTGTATCTTTATGAGCTCAAATAGTTTAGCCTACTATATCCGTGCATTTGACATCAATGGCCATGTAAGCATATATAAAGGCCTTGTCAGCAAACGATTGGGATTACATTATGCGTCCTTAAAATTAAAAGACAAGAATATGGTTGTGACCTTCTTGAAGAATCACCATGAACTCACTGGTGGTAGTAGGCTAGAAATTAATTTATGTCATACAGTTATACTACATTGACTTCACCAATTGAATGACAGCTATAGATCCATGCTCTCATATACCACTGGCACCATTCAATGACCTTTTCAAAAGCGAAAGAAAAAACTAGTCATTTTCTCTTGTTCCTTTCAGATGAAACTAAATTTTGAGCAAAGGCAATGAGTCCCTTACTCAAAAGTTCCTAGGTTTATCCCATTGCCAACAAAAATGCTTGTTACACCCATTTGTGAAACCTGCATTCACCAATGCCCATCCAATAAGTGGCCCTACTCCACATGGAAAAACGTGATTTTCCTTTAAGGTAAGCTCAAAAGAGAGGAGAACAATAAGCATTTTTTACCGCATCAATGCTTCTATCCTCATCATCAAAAAATAGCATTGAATTAAATGGAACCCCAGTCCTTCGATGGATTATTTGGAAATGCTCTGTCTTGTGGATCCAACTGGAGAAGATCTCCTGCACCATCAAGGCATCAATAGAATCACTTAAGATTTTATGGGAGAAAGAAAACTATAGTCCATGTGAGAAACTAGATAAAACATATATCTATCAAAAAGCAAACTAGATAAAACATATAAAAGAAAAGGAAGAAAAAGAACAAATAACACTTATTCATTCAAGATCAAATTAATTTCAAATGTGAATACCTCGCTTCTGCATTACATGCAGAAAAAAAAAATGTGACTTCCTATCTTTTTCTCTCCACTATTAGGTCACATGCAAAGTGCATGCCTCTACACATACATTGTAGACCAAAAAAATATAAAAAGGGTACAGATGAAGAAAAATAAGGAACAGTAAAGAAGAGAAAATGGGTAACAAATAAGAGTTGGGGGGCAGACCCAAGGCTTGAGAAAATATCAATTAACCCCCGCCCCTGGTGTAGAACCCCCAAAGATGTCTCAGAAGATATCGACAAAAGGACCTCTATACAACCTCTAGAATTGCCTTGTGAAATCAGCAGCTACAAAAACTAGCCAAATGCAAAATCCAACTCTTTGACTTGAGAAACAACTAAAAAGGGCGATATCTAAAAAACTAATAACCAATCAACTGGTATTCATTCAAATTCACATGGCACTAAACAGAACAGATTGGAGAAACAGGATTCATGTGGGCTGATCCACATAGTTGAGATAAGGCTTAATATAATACCTTTTTCCAGTATTATAGAAATTGCCTTAAGAAAACTTGAAAGACCAGGGTGGGCCTTGGCGCAATGGTTGGGTTGCTCCACTGCAACCTGGGTGACCAGGGTTCAAATCTTGGAACACAGCCTCTCTGTATGTGCAGGGGTAAGGTTGCGTACATTTGTTCCTCCCCAGACCCCGCATGGCGGGGAGCCTTGTATGGGTTGCCCCTAACTGAAACCAACAGGTAATACTTCCACCCCAAGTTGCAGATTCATCAAGTCCTACGCAATCTGCAAATGAAGGAAGCATGAGACTGAAATTTCTGGATTGCTCATATTATTTAGGAGAGTAGTAAATACATGTCTGTCTCTTGTCACTCCCCCATTGTCATCTGTATTTTTTAAGAAATGAGAATAATACTAGTCTTTTCTTTCCTAGACTAGCTGAATTAGTAGCCACATCTTGCAAATGGCTACATTGATGAAAGGTACCAAAGCACTTTACCAAGCCCAAACAAAGGAATGAATAAAAGTTTCATAAATAATAACGTCAAGCTTTTAGCAAATTAAGCAGTCTACAATAAGGAACCATGATCTTGATCTGAGATTCTCAACCTCTAGATGTAATAACTAGAGGCACCAATACTTTCCTTACTAACATGAATACACGGATGACTAGAAAAAAAAGTTCACGGAAAATTCTCAAAAGAAAACATAGGATCCACCTTCAATATAGTACCAAATAAAAATATAGAAATGAAGAAGACTGCCAACAAAACAGAGGAAACATAAGAAGTTCTGTAATTGGCTCACCCGGGCCACAAACATGGGCTGGATCTCTAATTTGTCAAGAAATATCTTTGCTATATCAGGGGTTGGTGATCTAGAAGCCACTGCCATGTCAATTCCTTTGTCCTTGAGTGCATACGATATGCCTTTAGCATGTGGATATAAAGAAGGCATCTCCCATATGGAGCAGCATTCACTACAACAAAAAATAAGGAAAAATCAGCATCAGAGATTGAGTTCTTTGACTAAAAACCATATATGGAAAACGTAATAAGTTAGGTGGTGAAAGAATATCTTGATGTTTATGCTTCGATAAAGGATAACCTTACATAATGTAATAGCAGAAAAGAGTGTGTCCAATTCAACTCCCGAGCATTTGACATACGATTTTGATGAGGACAGATAAACCTCCTTTAACTTGGAATTTTTTACATAATAAACATTACCATCACCGTAGCACTGATGATCTCATCCTGCTCCTAACTAGTAACCACTCAGAGTGGTTGTGAGGCTCAGTTGATGTCTTTGCTATATCAATGCTTTCAATAGATAGAAGGGGGAGTGAGTCTCACAAATGAAGCAGTGTTTGCACAAACAATTTAGGAAGTTATAGAGCCTTCTTCACATATTGTCATGAGCCATGTCTTCAAGCAAATAATAGAATCACAAACATGCAAGGGAAACTAGGAACATCCCATATGATAACAGTGAACGATATTATCAGTCTTTAGAGGTCTTTTTATATCTTATAATATCATTTATACTAACAAATTAAGACCAAACAATAATGAGAAATCCTGAAAAGCTAGTGATCAATGACATAACAATAGAAAACCCACTTTCAAGAATCTCAAGCTTGTAAATTTGTAAGATGAAGGAAATTAAAAAAAAAAAAAATCACTAATGCTATGTTTGGTTTGAAAGAAAAAACCTTGTATTGATTTCCCTACTTTTACCTTCAAACCAAACACAGCTTAAGAAACTTTCATAACAGCGATTTTTCTGTCCACTCTCTTTGGAGATAGATTAGTAAGCAATCTTGTAAAAATGAAAATACACAAAAAAAGAACTAAAAGTAGGAAATTTGAAGCCGTTTCAACGTTAAAAAAAAAAAGGAAAAAGAAGTCCAATGAAAGCTAAATAACAGAAAGAATTAACGGAGAAGATACCAGTAGAAAGGGCCAAAGAGTGTAATCGAGGAAGGACTTGGAACGAACCGATTATGTTCAGAGCCTCGTCCTTCACCTTCTCGTTCCCATCTCGTGATCGACTGATCGTCTTCGTCTTTCTTCCTCCTGATGGACCGCGGTCTTTACTCTTTACTACGAGAAAATGTTTTGAAGGCTGATTAAAGAAAAGCCACGACGCCTATGTTTGAAAGTGAACTCATTAATTACGTTTGCATGACACGTGGACCAATACAACCGTAAGTTTAACCTCATGAGAGAGTCTAAGACCTGCCACCAACTACTAGAAAATTTTCCATCAAAGCTAATCTCCATCCATTATCCCTCTGATGTATTTCATTTTATCAAAAACCAATGGAGTTGCAGGAGCTGCAACACATTAACACATTAGTAATTTTATTTATATAGATAGATTTAATGTTAACTATTTGAATAAATGAAGTAGGGGAAATTCCAGATTAGTATCATTTACTTTAGGTTTATTGTCACTTTCGTCCTCAAACTTTAAAATGGGACAATTTAGTATTTAAACTTTTTAAAACGTCTAGTATCTGCCATTAATCAGTCCATTAATCAGCTGTTAAGTATCATTTGAAAAGACACAAATACTCTTTAAGTATCATATAATTTTCTTTATCAACCATCTAAGTGTCGAAAAAATGAACAGTCCCAAATCATTGCCTCTTTTGTTTAAGAAAGTTGGAGTCACCAGAATGCCCACATAAATATAAATTAACGGCTGGTTGACGGATTGGTTAATGACAAATACTGGATTGACACGTTTTTGAAGTTCGGGTACTGAATTGGATCCTATTATTAACTAGAATATCCCTATTTTTTTATTTTGCCCTTCTTTAATTGTGAATGCATGGAATATAAGTGTGATAAAAGAATAATTGTTTTTATTGATGATAAAAATAAAATATAAATTTAATACCAATTAAAAAATTGAATTATTTTTCTATTTGGTAACAAGTCAACAGTTCAACATTTTGGGTCATATATGTTAATCTTGTATGTTATAACTAAATAATACTAAAAATAATGAAAATAAAAATACACAAAAGTATGGAAAATACCAAAAAAAAAATCTATGAAAGAGATGCACACATCTCTAAATATTGTATATTCATCACAATAAACAAAATTGAGTGTAACAAATATGAATAATTTCTATAAACAGATTATTTACTACCATCATCATAAAAAAATTCAATGTGCTACTAGTCTCTCTCTCTCTATTATATATATATATATATATATATATTGGGGGCCCATGTGATGCACGGAAAATAATATTATTTAATATTTTCACTGTTTTTTTTTAATTTTATTATTAAAAGATTATTTAACATTTTTTAATTATTTCATTTAATATTTTGTGTTGTGAATTTGTTGTAACAAACAAAATAATTATTTTTTATTAATGTAAATAAATATTTTTATGAAAAATTTAATATTATCTAACTTACAAATATTTAAGTGAACATGAAGTAGAAGAACCTTTACTCATTGATTGGTTACATAGTGTTCTACATGCATCATGGGGAGCAGTAGATCCTGGCTCAATAGGGCAAACTGGTAAAAAACATCTGCCAAACAATGGTATAAACGTCCTAGTATAACCCAAAAGATACGTTTTTCACCACAGTTTTCAGTTTCCTTTACTTGATAAAATGAGATTCCATTAATACCTTAATTTTTTTTATAGTTTTTATTTGTTTTTGGTAGAACGCTGTGATTTCAGTCCGCAAAGGCGCAAAGCAACTGATAAAGATTTAGATGACTAAAGGAGAAATCCATCCAAATAAAAGGAATTTGCATGGAAGCGTTTTAAATTGCATAGTGGAGACTAACCTAAAGCAGATGCAAATCAAACGGCTGAGGTGATGATGTTCGAGAGTAGAGCCTCATGGTGCAATGCACCGGGTCCTTCACTCCTTCCTCGAACCACCTGGGGTGCAAACATGGTGTCCAATCTCAATGCTTTAACATAAGATTCCGGATCTCCTGCCCACAAGAGTTCTGCCCATGCATTTTCCCTGTCATGGTCTACCCGAACGGGTCCATTTAGCCCAATAGTTTAAAATTCAACGCAAGATATAATATGAAAATCAACTCAATTAGGCCCAAAAAATTCCTTTAAATTGTTTTAAATTTAGCTTAAAACCAATTCAAAAAGGCCCTTAAATTTAACCACAAATGTAGAAAAGTACCTTAAAATGGTCCATAAAATTGATTGAAATCCAGCCCAAAAATAGTAAAAATATGCCCCAAAGTTGGGTTAAATGGACCTTAAAATTGTCCAAAAAGGATCTCTACTGGCTTGAAGTTGGTCAAATTTAATCGTTTTTGGGTTGGATTTGAAGCAGTTCATCCAATTTGGCTGGCTCGGTTTAAATCATGGGTCCGCAAAAGTGGGTTGCATGTAGGGATGTCAAAGGGTCGGTTAAATGGCAAACCTGCCTTGAACCGACGTTGTCGGGTGGGATTAGGGTCAGGTGTATTCGACTTTAGGGCCGGTTAGGGTTTTGATTCAATTCGAGTTCGCTTTGAGTTTTGGTATGCTGTATATATACCAAGTATTCTTGCAAAGTTTTGACTTCTAATTTTATAGATTTAAAATTTACGATATATTTATATGTTTCCTTTTTTTAAATAAATGGAGAAAGCAATACCTTATCATGCATCTATTAAACAATTTCCTAGCATAAATTAATGTATTTCAGTTCTTTAAAGTGTGTTTAAAAATATATTTGAAATGCTACGGATCGAGTTAGGTTGGAATCAGATTACCCCTATATGGTCGGGTCAGGTTCGATGATAATTGGGCTTACTTCTCAATCTATCTTCGTTGCTTGTTTACCACATTCTACTGATTGGTTAACGTTGTTTTTTATATATATATATAATTAAGGCATTTTGTCTAGAATTTCTTCTGGTGGTCTGTAACTAAAAAAATGATAGTGTCTGTCGTTCTCAAAACAAGGGCGTCAAACAATTGGTTTGGGACAGAATAACATTAACAAACAAAAAGGGAAAAGCTTTAGATGTAGGGAGGAAATAAAAATGGAGGATAATATTTTTGGGAGAATGATAGGCTGAAAGTACTGCTGGGGTAGGTGCCAGCTCGGAATTGATGCTAATTCATAGGCGTGCATTGATGCATAGAGTGTGGGTTGTTGCCATCTTAAATGTTTATAGCTTTGCAGTGGAAATCAGAAATATGCATTGAGCTGAGCTTGTCCGTACATTCTTTTAAGTATCTTAAATAGTATAGCAATGATTGTTTTTTAGTTGGAATAAGCTAGTTGGCTTGACACTTCTCTTGCCACGTGGCTGATTGAGAGGCCTAGGTAGGAAAAAGGAAAAAAAAAGGTGAGAGATTCAATGAGAGAGTTGGGATTAGGGGTGTTAGTTGGACTGAATTTGGTCCAATCTGATATAGTCCAATGTGAGTCCATTATAAATGAACCAAGTTCAATCCAATCCAATGAATGTTTTAGACCAATTTGGACTAGTCCAATTCAATGCCTGGACTGTCCAAGCTGTTCAAATTCATTTTGATATAGATTGGTTTCAAACCAAACCCGGTCCATTGACACATATATTCTTATCTTATATCAATGGACCATATATTGGCTTAATTCAACACAATCTAATATAAATTTGTTACGAACAGACCAGGTCCAATCTAATAAATATCTTGGACCGGATTGGTCCGATCCAATATATCTTGTTGGTTCGTCAAATTTGTCCAAATTAATTTTGGACTGGACTTCCATTGACACCCTTAGTTGGGAAAGGGTAAGGGAGAAAGGAAAAAGTATAAGGAGAAATGAGAAAAGGGGGAATAAGAGAATGAGAGGGCTCCTCACATAACCTATATCACTATATAATATTGTATATGTATGTATGTATATATGTATAGAGAGAGAGATTGTACATATAGAATGCATTTACGTAAATACAAATTATTTATTTACTGTGTATTAATTTTATATACATTTCAATATATAATATATTATATACATAATATATAAATTCCAAATTGGATTCGAATTTTAATTGCATCAATAGGGATAGATTATAGTTCAACCCACCAAACTATCAAATCAGTAAATAAGTACAACTTTTAAGAGTTAAATGCCATTCAAATTTCATTTTTTCCTTTTTACTAATTTTGCATAATAGGAGTTCAAATCATGGTGCATTTCAAATCGGAAGCCAATAGATAACTCAATGTGACCTTCTTTATATCACTTGAATGATTGTTAGGCAATGTAAAGAAAAAAGAGTGAGACAAAATGGTCATGATTTGCATGAATAAAAAAATTATAATGGATAGGTTTAATAGGTGTTAAAATGATATGGACTATGATGAGTCGGCCACCTGAAGAAAGACATTTGATAACATTCATAAGAAAAGAAGGAGAATGGCTGTGATACTAAAAAAAAGGAAAGGCGAAAAGAAATTCATATAACCGAAACCATATAATTGGGGATAAATGATGACTCATTTGTATAATCGACGGCCAGGAAGCATCCCTTGTATTTGGAGCCCCCATGATACATCGATTAGATCTGGATGTGTGCTAATAGCCCCCATGATACATCGATTAGATCTGGATGTGTGCTAAAGTCGCATCACCTATCCCCAATACCGAAATGATATGATATCGAGAAAAATAAACGTGTTAACCAATCGGGTGGATTTTATTGAATTTTGATTGATCAAAATTTTATAGATACCATATCTTTCCGGTATCATAGATTTTTCCAACCAAAAATAATTGAATTGGAGCCTTCAGAACTACCAAAGACAAAGAACGCTAACGCTAGGCAAATTCATCCCCCCTTGTATGAATGTATCGAGCTCAAATTAATGAGGACAGGTAGCATCGTGGAGGATAATCTTCATTTCTTTGCGCTGCACACTGGACACGTGCCTTGCCAAACCTATAGTCGATTCCAACGAACGAGGACGTGCCTTGTCCTTTTTTTTTTGTGGCTACGCACACCAAACCGAGAGTGACGTGGCGTCTTTCGTTCTCTTGAATCTTCTTAACCGATCCAACTTCAAATTACCCATGTACCCTAGGCTTACATGAGCCAACATGACCATGCAGACGCGTGGCAACTGGCAAGTACAGAGAATGCTCATCAAGTCATCCTCATCGACGCTTCTCAAATGGTCCACACATCGAACGGTTAAAACACAACAACGTCGACCACTACGCCGTATACGAGACGGGTTACCCTTTATGATTAGTCGATTACGAAAGCGTGAAAGGGAGCGCAAGGCGGGATTATATGCATATCACTCACGAGTCACGAGTCACTATCAGTTCGAGCCTCGAGAGATGGCGCCGGATGGAGGAGGAGGACTGTAGACGTAGAGCGCATGTTAGAAGGGCGACGCTCTGTGAAAAGGACGCGGGACCACGAAAACGCAACCAAACACGAAACAACGCCCATTGACCACCAGCCCAAGGAATGTCTAACCCTCCTATTTCTCTTTTCTGGCTCAAACTCTACTACTATTTGGGTTTGATTTGATTTTATTTTTATTTTTGTTTTTTACAGTATTTCTCTCCGATTCGCCTCATTTTTTTGTTTCTATTATTCCGTCATTCTCTCTCTTTCTCCCTTTCTCTCTGTGTGTCGCTCATCGCTTCCACCAGAGACCAATATTAGTTAATTAAAGAACGGGTAGATTCAAAAAGAACGAGGAATTCCCATTATTTCTTCGCTAAAGGGGAGGTCACAAAGTTTTTTTAGGAGGTAAGTGTAATTGTTGATTTCTATTTGCAATTTTCCTTCTAATTCGTTGTGGGAAGCTAAAGGAGATTAGTTTCGCTTGCAGGATTAGGATATACACCTCTCACCCTTTTATTGCATTATTTTCAGTGAGAGATGGATCAATTAATGGGTTTTATCATTTTTATATTTGACTGTTTTCCATTCGGGGGTGCAAATTAACGAAAAACAGCCCACTTTTGGTTTAATTCCGCCAAATTCTAATGTAACAGGGTCTGATTCGTCAGATAATTTTGAAAATTTAGGGTTTCTGTTCAGATAGCTGGACTTCATTTCAATTATATCTGGGTTTTCCTCGTTATGGTTTCTGCTGATCCTTCTTTCTCTCTTTGTTAAATTTTATGGAACTTATGACCTTAACGTACGACGGGACCTTGTTGTTTTGACTTGTTTCATTCTCTTAGTGACGCACGAAGGACATACTTATCCGAGTGGTAAATCAGGTTTCGTTGTTATTGGGAAGACTATTAGGAAACCCAGCTGAAGGAAACCTACAATGCCGAGCTTGAGCACTATTCTCAGAACAATTTTATGTGCACGACCGGGCTTTATAAAGCTGCAGAGAGTGACATGAAGCAGTTGGTCTTGTGGTGATTTATTTTGCATGGTTTCTGGAGACAAATGTCTTAAAGGAGCATAATTTTGTTCACTAGATGCTTACATAGAGCAGTATGGGCTTAAAATACCGCACATTCATGTTGCCTTGGAGACGCATCTTTGAACCTTAATTTTTCTTTGTTTTCCTGCTGGTTTGTGCGCCATTGGATATACATTCGATTCCTTTCTTTCTTTGCTTTTTCATCGTCAACATCATTACACAACCTTATTTACAGAAAAAGACGATGTTCATAGGCCAATATTTTATTTGCAAAATCCTAATTCTGGAGGTTCAATAAATGGTGTTTTTCTTGGTTAACATCCACTATATTTTGCTGCAGGTTGACAATTTTGCGTTACCTTGGCAGGTTTTGGTATTTGGAAGTTCCTTGGCGTGGCAACCCTAAGTCTGTCTAGTCTTTCTGCTTCTTGTTGAAATATTTATTTAGAGACCAGGGATTTAATGAAATTGGTATAGTGCAATGATTTTGTGCTACTAGTGAGATCCTCCAAACTCTGCCTAGTGATGGCGATTGCTGGTTCTTTGCAATTGTCCCATGAATTGGGACTTTGCAAGAACCATGTACATGGTAACCGACTCAAGGTACACACCTTTGAATTTCTTGAATACTATTATGTTGTTTGGCATTTTGTTTTTATGTTTCTGCATACATTGATTATGTCCTGATTCCTCTCTCTTTTGGTTCTTTTTTTTTCTTGTATTTTTCCAGATGATGATGGGTAGAGGCCGATTACATTTGTTGAGTGTTGCTCTTTCATCACATGCTTTGGTATGATTCTCTTTCTACCCCAAGTATGCACTTTTTTAGTGTTGATGGTACTTATACCTCATCTCAGGCGACTGCTAGAATGTTTGTAAACATCAAATTGAAGGCCTAGTGGAGGCTCTACTTTAACCTTTTCACAGGCCTTACAGTGCAAAGTTGATGATTACCACAATGGATTTACCCAACACAACTCAACTCAGCCTTGATTCCAACTGTTTGGGATTGGCTGCATGGACTATGTCTCATGATTGTGCTCTATCAAGAGCCACAGTTATCATATTGAATTTTTGGTGTCAATTTATTTTGTCTTAGAAATTCCTTATATAGTTTTTATTGCCTTATTTTTCATCGCTTGTTTAAGTGCTTTTAATAAGTCATTACCCAATGTTGGTCCCTAAAGTCAAGGACTCAAGGTATTGGGAGGAGTGGACTGGATATAGATCTAATCTCCAGCTTTAACGTTAAGTGACTACTCTAGACTCAATCCCATGTTTTCATTATTGCTAGCCCAAGATTTTACCATTGAACCAAGCAAGAGTTTTTATTTTATTTCTTATTTTTAATATATATGTATTTATTATAACTTTTTTCATTAGCTGGGAGATTTTTTTTTTGATTTGTAAGAATATCAGGATCTGAGAAATCCTATTTTCTTTTCAGCGGCAGGATGCTTGGACTCAGCGTGTCTCAAGCAGTATAAACAGGCCGATACATTCTTTGAATTCCAGATATAATGTTTTCATGTGCCAGTCTGTTCTATTGCCAGGTCAGGGAAATGGGATTCCCATCCTGAAAACTGCTACCATGGCGTTGACGAGGTATTTATTTCTTTTCCCCATTTCTTATTTACACACCAACATATTTTTATGAGTGCATGCAAACATGCTAAGTGCATAAATAGATCCACATACAGAAGGTCATTGATGCATAATCAACTTATAAAGTTATATGTTTCTATTTGTAAGCCTGTGGATGAAGTGATTTATTGCATGACTGATCCTGTTTGATAACTAAGTGGCATCTCTGACATTTTGACTTTTTTCATATTATTTTTAAAGTATGCTTGAAATAATAGACATTTATGTAGATATATTTTTGAGTGATGCATTGGAACACAAAGTATGTGCACATACATATGGTTAAATGGGGTTTTCGATTCCTAAGTGGAGTTTGAGTTGTATTTAGTATTCAGTTGCCATTGACTTGTTTGCCATGTTTATGCCATTTTTTGTTTTGTTTTGTTTTCCTTCCCTTAACTCTTCTAAGTATTGTGCAGGTCACTTAGTGCTCTAAATGGGAGTCCTGTTGTGGTTAAGTTGGCTCCAGCAGTTGGTATCATCATCTTCACAATCTGGGGGCTTGGGCCTCTCATGCGTATGACTAGGAACTTTTTACTTCATGTAAGATACCCCAGTGCCTGTCTTTCTCTTAGTTTATAAAAAGTTGTCAGAAAAAGCAGGAAACAGCTTAGAGGGGGGAACACTGAAATTTACATGGACAGTCACCTTTCTTTATTTCTTTTATTTTTAATTTCTACTGCAGTTCCTTTTCAAGTTGCCTCCTTGCTTAAAAGTGTGCTAATGCACTTCTTTTTTTGTTTTGGCAAATTCATGCAGAGGAGTGATAGTAGCTGGAGAAAGAGTAACACACATTATGTTATGACCTCTTATCTTCAACCTATGTTGCTGTGGGTTGGAGCAACACTTATCTGCAGGTGCCTTTGACATTACATTCCTGGATTATGAGAAAGGAGAGCTGTAAAGTATTTTTTACCCAACAATTTCTTCAATACTAAATATGTTGGAGCCTTGCAGGGCATTGGATCCAGTTGTTCTACCATCAGAAGCTAGCCAGGCTGTTAAACAACGCCTTTTACATTTTGTGAGATCATTATCAACCGTCCTGGCCTTTGCCTATTGTCTATCAAGGTGAGTACTTTTGCTGTCACAATCGGACTTAAAAATTGTTGAATGAAGTAGCTTCTCCGTTTTGGTTTGAGTAACAACCAACTAGTTGAGTAAGTGGTGAAATAAGCAACCTGCAGAAATGATCCTCAGCACCATATTTGGGGTACTAGAGGAATGTGCTGCTAATAATTGCTTTGCTTATCATTATTATTGTTTCTAGGATCTAATATTCAGATGCAAACACTGCTCATCGTTTGGATGCGTTTTTACATTTTTTTTTCTGCAAAGACATGCTTTCTTCTCTCTTTGTTCAGAGGTTCTCTATTTTATGTAATGGTCTTTTTTTTTTTTAAATCAGTGAAAGAAAATTCCATTAAGATGAGAAAAGAATACAGATTATGAGTAGCCTTGGCTACCCCACTAAAACTTAAGATGCTACCATCACTTTTGGTTTTTCATCCTTACAACTGGGCCCAAAAACAATGATCCCTGTTTGCCCCTTGTTTTGCTAGCTGGTCTGCAAATTCATTTGCTGCTCTTGGAGTCCACTGAAATAATAGCTGCATGTCCTTGGAGAGGCTTTAACCTTCTTGATGTCATTTATAAACAGCCAGGGTGTCTTTTCAGTTTGCTTTAACCAGCTTATCACTACTTTGGAGTTGCCTTCCACAACAAGCTTTCTCACCCCCAACTCCTTAGCTTTTTGAATTCCAAATACCACTGCCTCTAGTTCATCTGTGGTGGAATCACCTATTCCAATAGGGCCAGAGAACAATCCCACTACAATCCCCTTGTCATTTCTATATACTCCTTGGCTTCCAGATCTTCCCGGGTTTCCAAAGCTGCTTCCATCAACGTTTAGTTTGAGGAAACCTGATTCGGTTCGGGGGGGGGGTCCTGTTCCTTTAAGGCCTTCTTCTTAACAGCTGAAGAGGAAGCAACTTCTCTCCAATTCCTGATTATATCTTCCACAGAAAAGTCTGAAAATAACTTAAGAGATTTTACCCATGATGTTACCTTTATCATAATCCTTTCTATTAATTCTTCCTTGCATCTTTTCTTCTCTTCAAAAATTCTCAAGTTTCTTTCCCCCCACAGTACCCAAATTACTGCTGCCGTTGTGCATTCTTCTTTTTGGCCATCTGAATGTAGAAGAATCAAACAGCCTTTCCAAGTTCATTGGAGTATCCTGTCTGCAACCAAAAAAATAGAGGAACCAATCCCAAATACTGCTATCAATAGGACAGGAGACAAGGATATGATAAGAAGTCTCACCATTCGACTCACACAAACAGCACCAATTAGGTGAAAAGCACCAGCTAGGCCTCTTCCTCTGCATCAGATCACAGGTGTTGATTGCACTATGATAGAACTCCCAACAAAAAGCACCCACTTTGTGGGGGATAAGGCGACACCACACTTCTTTTACAGGGAAAGGTACCTCAGTTTGGGCAACAAGGATTTGAAGAAGGATGCACAACTAAAGACTCCAGAGGGATGAGGGGGGGGGTCCAAATCCTAGTGTCTTGTTTAGAATTGTCTAGAAACACCCCTTCAAGCAGCTGAAGTAAAGAAGACAAAGAACCCAGCTCAGAATCCCTCACATTTCTGCGTAGACCCAGATTCCAAGCAAAACCAGACAGGGAGGGGGAAGGGTGATGAAATCAGCAATCGGCTTGCCTTTGAGGGAGGAGAGGGCAAAGATTGAGGGGAACAAAGTTTTTAAGGAATGCTCACCTACCCACACTTCTTCCCAAAAATTGATTTTATTCCCTGATGGAATTTGAGAACACTAATAGTTTGTCTTTCAGGAGGTACTAACATCCAAATTGAGGGATGACTGAAGAACTTGTGTGCCTTTGCTTTTTCTTTTTCTTTTTTTTTTTGGTTAGGGGAATACCTTCCCTATGAATATTTTAGTTTTTTTTTTTTGTATTATTAGTACAGCTGTTCTTTGTCATCAATATGAAAAACTATTGCCTGCAATCTATAGTCTCATGATGAAAAAGACAGAGTGGCACGTTTCAGTATTCATTCCCACCAAAAAAGCTATAATCAATTATCAAATATCATTATCTATATCCATGGAATGACTTCTTGGTGCAAATCCCACAAATTTTCAGCCATGTTCATCGCAGATGCTATATTCCAGATATAAACACACATTTTGTGTTCTTATAATTGCTTCCTATAATCTAGTTTTATTAATCCACAATGTCCTTTTGAGTTTTATTGATGAACTTTGGCTTATTAATGTGTTGAATTTTGCATCTCCACTTTTCACTCTGCATGTTGAGTTGGATGGCATGCATCCATAATAACTAAATGAGTTATTTCTTTTTTATGCAGTGTGATTCAACAAACCCAGAAATTCTTTATGGAGAAGGTCGACCCTAGTGATACAAGAAATGTATGCTTTTGTTGCTTTAGCAATTTAGCACGTGCATCTTCTTTTATCATATTAGATTCACATGACTAGTTGATTATTGCTACAGAACTGGGCTAAGTCTGCAGCTAGTGATAAAACTAAGTGTCAAAAGTTGGTATATTCTGTCTAGGACATTGGAAGACCCACTGCTGGTATCTGACCTATAGATTTCATAATAGAAATTCATGTTGTAGAATATGTAGGTTTCTTTTCCTCTTTCTTCCTATTTATTTTGCATGCCATTTTCTTTTTCTGAATGGTACATGCATGACATATTCAAGTATGATGTGATAATATTAACCATACATAATAATTCTTAGTAGCCTCATGCTATATTCCTGATTGTATAGGATTTGGAGAGATGATTACCTTATATTTGTCCTATGTTTTTAATCTTTTGACAAGTTTGTAAAAAGTAAAAATGCTCTTACAATTTACGATATGATTCATGATTTGATTTGGTTCAATTTTCTCTATGATTTACAACATGATTACAATTTTTAGAGACATTGGCCTATTTTATCTTGAACACATGCCAGGTCAAATTTTCATTCAGTAACTAAGATTTCTTTGTTTCTGGCAGATGGGTTTCAGCTTTGCTGGAAAAGCTGTATATAGTGCAGTATGGGTTGCTGCTGTTTCTTTGTTCATGGAATTGCTAGGTTTCTCCACGCAGAAGTGGCTTACTGCTGGAGGTCTTGGAACAGTATTGCTGACCCTTGCTGGTCGTGAGGTTCTCTCGGTTTCCTCTGGTCCAATTGCACTTTTGATGAATATAATTCTGAAACTTAAAGGCTATATATATAATTATAAGGATACTAAGATACTATACATTTTCAGACTTTCTGTTAATTAGATGGATACTGAGATGCTGCAAAAGCTTGATGAAAATTGGTTATTGTGTTCAGATATTCACGAATTTCCTCTCTAGTGTGATGATTCATGCAACACGACCATTTGTTGTGAATGAATGGATTCAGACAAAGATTGAAGGCTATGAAGTTTCTGGGACTGTAGAGGTTTGTATTAAGTATCAAACCTCTATTTGTTAGTCTCTCTCTCTCTCTCTCATGGGGATGGGGCAGTGGTCAGTTTAGTAGGGGGTTGCATACATGGTAAGATCTAAGATTTACAACTCATTTGTGTTTCATTTTACATGTTGATATTTTTATGCTTTCAGCATGTTGGTTGGTGGTCACCAACAATTATTCGAGGTGAAGATCGTGAAGCTGTTCACATTCCAAATCACAAGTTTACAGTTAATGTTGTTAGGAATCTGAGTCAGAAAAGTCATTGGCGCATCAAAACCCACCTTGCCATCAGTCACTTGGATGTCAATAAAATTAATGTAAGGACCAATTGGATTTATCTCCTTGTTGACAGACAAGATTATGTTCTCTGCAAATGTATGTGGACATTCTGGACATCTAGCGGTTCCTTTCTCGTTGATATATGCATTTTTGGGTATTCTTTTTGTGTTCAGAATATTGTAGCAGACATGCGCAAGGTGTTGGCCAAAAATCCTCAAGTGGAGCAGCAGAGATTGCATAGGAGAGTGTTTCTAGACAATGTTGATCCAGAAAATCAGGCTCTTCTGGTAAGCCATTCTGTTTAATCTTTACAAATTGATAACAATTTGCTTATTATTTTTATTTACTTTTCATGAGATACTACTAGTTGAATGAGAGGGGTTGCAGAAAGAATGTTCTCAATCCTCTGAAGTTTAGCTTGAAACTTGTAAGTTATGGAAAAATAGAAGTAATTTGCTAATTTTGGAATTATGATGCCACATTTGGATTGTTCTTTTGTAGTCTGCTTAATTTGCTAATTTTGGTGCTAATTGCCAATTCATTTAACACAGAGGTATAAATAGAACAGAGCCAACTTTATTACCAATTTTTCAGGAGCCATTGGATAGCAGATGAAGTGGCTGAACTGAATGACTTGTTTCTTTGTTTTTTAGTGGACTAAATAACATAATATTTGATTCTGTAGTAATCAAACCTAATTTCAATTTGCCATTAAGGAGCTCACAACCTCCTTAGTAACTTGGTGAAAAACAAATCAATAGGCCATTTAGTTCAGCCATTTCAGCTGTTATCTAATGACCCCTTAACCTTGCTTCTGATTTCTGAAAGCTAAAATATAGTAATATTGTTCCTGGTGTCCCTCAATGCATATAATATTTTTTTTGGTAGAACTTGTGACCTTGAAATATCATTTGGTCTTGGTTTTTATTATTGATATGAAAAAAGAAAGGGTGCCAATATTAGTTATGATATTTCTTTTATATAAACATTATTCTTTTTTATGAATTATTATAAACATCACTTTATGATCAATTCTTAATTTGTCCTTTGGCTTGGAATTTGTTGCAGATTTTGATTTCCTGCTTTGTGAAGACTTCCCATTTTGAAGAATACCTCTGTGTTAAGGTGAGAGGATTTTAATTTACCTTTCAAATGCCAGTTTCAATTATATTGGGAAAATGGTGTACTTGTCTATCAGTGTACAATCATTGTACACTGCAGTTTGTAGTGCAAACTAGTATTGTACCATTCTAGCTATTATGAACCTATTATAGATATGCTGCAAACCTGCAACCCATTACGTTTAGTCCATTGACTAAGGACTACAAAAATAATTATAATACAATAATTCTGATAATGGGGTCCTAGTATGGGGAAAAGCAATTTGAGCCTCTTGCTGTGATGCCCAGAAACGATGACATGGACATGGATATGGGAAATGGGGATATGACTCTCCATGTCCTAAAAATCTGGACATATACAGGCTTCTAATGTAATATGCTCATATCATGCACTTTTATCTAACATGTGCAGATGTTTGGATATGATATCGGTAAACCAGGCATTTATGGGTATCCGGGTATCATAGATCCCTTGTTTTTATTGATAATTGGCTTGACAACCGAAAAGGGCAATATTCTTTTTTATTTGTATGAAATTTCCAGCTAATGGCTAACTAAACACAAAGGGCTCACATGGCTGTTTCCAACCATGTGATCCCTTCAAGTACCAAAAACAAAAAGCTGAGAGACATTTCTCTTGATGAAAATTAATAGAAGATTTGTCCATGATCATTTCAATCTTTTATCTGATGTTGGATGATGGATTTCAATTGCCTTTTCCTGGGTTTTTGATGGCTGTTGTGGCTGAACTCAAAGCTTGGAAGAGAAGTTAAGAGAAAGGAGGACGAATGAAGAGACACCTAGTAATCACTCTAGGGCCTTTGGGAATCACTCACCAAAAGTCACAGAAGTAGAAAATACTCTCGAGGGTTTATTAGCCATGGCATGGCAACTTTACTAACATATAGATTTTTTAGGTTCACAAAATGCTTCTTAAGTGTCTAGCAAATGACTCTAAAAACAAAAGAAAAACGTTCTGGTGCAATTTATGGTTTTTTAACCTCAAACATCCTCGGTGGAGGGGTGGCCACTGGAAAATTTGCTGTAATTTAGGGGTTTTCAACACTATAAATTGCTAAAAGTGATTCTCATTTTTTGAGATGGAATGAGTAATCTTCAGCCGGTGCCAGGGCCTGCAGGCATGTGCTTTATTTGTTTCCTATTTCCCATGCTGCAGAAGTGAATACTCTTTGGTTGTTATTTCAACACCCTTTCCTCGTACTTCTTCTTTTTCTTTTTTTATATGTATATAATTTTACAGCTTTTTACATTATAAAAGAAAAAGATGGATTCTCTATGGGGATAACTTCCTCTTATAACAAGAATGTAGAGGAAGTAGTTAGGTCTAATGGATTGGATTTAATCCCTTATATTTCATGAAGGGAAAATGTGTTGGCTAATAATTTTAAAATTGTGCTGCCATTCTTCTTGAGGAATCAATAGGACTTGAAAATTTATGCTGCTATTCTGTCACTAACTGTATAAAATTTTGAGTTCTAGCAACTCTTCTCCCCTCCCATGAATGGGTTGGCTTTTTTGCTTGTCTGTTAATTGTTTAAGTCTAGCAAATGAAAATTCAGCTAACATAGTTGATTTCTGAGGTAACAGGAAGCCATTTTGTTGGATCTCCTCAGAGTCATCAGCCATCACCGTGCCCGGCTTGCCACTCCCATCCGAACAGTTCAGAAAATATACAGTGATAAAGACATGGAAAATGTACCTTTTGCGGATACCATCTTTACCCGTACTGGTTCAGCTGCTAACCGTCCATTCTTACTGATTGAGCCTCCATACAGAATTAACAATGATGATAAAATGAAAGCTCAAGGTCGTCCAGTGCGTACAAATGAAGAACAGGATGCAAAGGTAGCAGGGACACAAACATCAGACTCCAAAGTAGATGCCAAGGTTGGGACAGGGCCATCATCTGACTCCAAGACAGATGTAAAGGTTGGAACAACACCAATGTCCGACTCCAAGGCGGAAACAATGGTTGCAGCAACATCAATTCCTGATTCCAAAGTAGATGGTAAGGTCGCAATAGTGTCATCGTCTGACTCCAAAGCAGATCCTAAAGTTGCAGCTATGTCAGTATCATCTGAGTCCAAGATGCAGAGTTCTGCGTCCGATGGCTCACCCCAAACCAATCCTGACAAGCAGGCCAAAAAGGCAAGTCCAGGTGGTGCACGACAAAAGAGCAGCAAGGTTGCTAATATGCCAATGGCAACGACTTCACATTCACAGCAAGATGGTGAGAGGCCGCCAGTTACACCACCTCAAATTTCCAGGCCTGCCTTGGAGGACAATATTGTTCTTGGTGTTGCTCTAGAGGGCTCAAAGCGAACACTTCCTATTGAGGAAGGAATGGATTCGTCTCCAACCAGTGCAGAAGCCAAAGAATTGGCGGCCTGTCGAAATGGGAATGGGTCTTCCTCTACCGGGAGTGATAAGGAAGAGGGCCAGATACGAGCAGCACCTGGTGCAACAGCAGGAGATCAGCGGGATCAGGGGAGGTGATTGATGCTTTTGTTGTTTACTCGTAGCAGTTTTTAACTTTTCCCGGTTTCCTTGGATTGAAAGATGCATGAGGCTGTGTTTTTGAAGGCTGGCTGATGAATATGATACATTGTATATGTCCCATTAAAAAAATGTAAAATTCATTTCATCTCGATCAAAGCAGTCAATTCTCCATAGGGGGGCGATCTATGCTGGTTGGTTGTATCATGTTCGGATATGCTAGAAACAAGGGGTTATTTACATCCGTTTAATTGGGATGAAGCTTACTGGCTTAGTTGATGATGATGAACGAGTCTCATCCAATTGCCATGAGAAATAATGAAATTGATCCAAGAGTTGGATGTTTACAAACGTTTCTAACGTTTCTCCTTTTGTAGTGTTGTTATAAATCCTAGCTAATTGCATACAGATTACAGGCATACAGCTTATTTGTTGATTATAGAAATCAATCACATGTTGACTATTTGTTGTAGATGTATTTGTTGCAAGTCAACGTAAGGGGTAAAATGACGATTATTTGTCTTGAAATCTCTCATTTTAAAACATACTTCCGTATTCTCTAAGCTTCATACCCCTTTGCATACACGCGCTTACTATGATGCATGTACCCCAGTGCTAGGTACAAGGTATTGTACTAATAGTTGACATCACCCCAAGTTTCTAACCCCACATCCTTTTGAGTCCAACCAATCAAATGTTATTTTGAATTTTGATATCTATGTCAAGTGAATCGAGATAAAGCAATGATGATTCAGACAGATACCAGGCTAGAAGAGTTGAGATTTAATTTTTTTTATTGGAGAATCACCAGCATCATCTGAATTGAAGCATTACTTTAGGAACAATTGGAAATTCTTCTATATTAGTGTTGTTATTACTGCAAAATAGGGTTTGAAGTTCGAAACTGGTGCAAAAGAATCAACATAAACATGTCAAACCCCCCTCCTCTCTCTCTCTCACACACAGAGGCACATATAGATACATGACTGATAATGATTCTTAAGGCGTATAGGATGTACTACACATACTGAAGAAACTGCATATTCCTACCTTTATTACCAGCTCTACAAGCCACAATCATAGTTGCAACTCATATAATGAGTTGTTGTCGTGATGTACTAGCCCTACACATGCAATCAGGGGCAGGATATGTATAGATGGATTGCTTCTCCTTCTTCAGTCTGATCTGTCCTTGTCTATCTTTGTGCCCCTCCAGAACTGCTCTCTGAAAATCTGACCATCCCATACTCTTGTTCAGGAAGAGCTGACCTAATAATGCCATGTTTGGCCGTATGGTCTTCAAATTTTGATATGCTCGATGACCCACCTGATGAAAACCACCAAAATTCAAATCAATTATGGTTTATGATATGAACAGAGTGCCACTTATCTTTCTTCATATAAAGGCAGGCATCTATTGTACAGCACAGTCATGGTAGTATCCATGGAAAATGCAGATGGTATGATGCAGCAGGAACACTCGCTATTTCAATGGATGTCAAAAGGATCTCAGATCCTTTATTCCTGATTCCGCTGTTATAACCATTCAGCATGAATAAATCAATTTAAGAAAACCTGAAACCACCAGATGAAAACAAGGCAACTGGCCCTTAATATTTTCAACCAATTGGAACCCCCAGACATGCATCAAAACTGAATTAAGCATTGAACTGGTATAACTGGCAAAACCAACTGGTTGAAGCCCTGGCAAGCTGGTATTGGATCCTGTATTTGCTTCTGCTTCTGAGAACAGGTGATCACATCAACTAGACTAGGGTCAGACAGTGGGTCCACCCAGACTGGAATTTCTTGTCATGTTGAGTCATTGACTAGTTGACCTCCTGATCATAACCATTGGTTTGGGTTTATTCTTTAATCAAGGATATATTACCAACTAGGGCCCATAGAAAGATGGGCTTCGCTGTTCTGTCACATGTATAAGTTTAATTAGAAACAGTTTCATTCTTTTGGACTTGGCCATAGATTGAAGGCAAATATACTTACCAATGCATTGTGCATATTTCCAGGAGATGCTGAGATAAAGATATCACTATGCATACTGACATAATAATCAACTGCAGCTAATAAAGAAGCTTTTCCTTCAATCTTCACACGTTCCTCTTCAGAAGCAAGGCTCTTTTTATCTTCCATCAGGGGGAACAGCTTACGCAAAGATGAGATCCTTGCTTCACCACCATAGACCTAGAAAATATGGGATATCCAGGATTTCAAATTCCAGATAAATAGCAGGTTTGTCAATTTCAAGTTCTAAATAAAATGCATGAATTTTCCTCCTCCATAGATAAGGCATGTGACACACCTTGTGGGAGGCTAGATAGAGATGAGTACTATTGTCAAAGCCCAAAGCTGCTAGCAGCAATCCAATCTCTTCTGGGGTCAATGGGCAGCGTCCCTGACTCCTCAGCTCCTCATCGGTGAACTGAGAGTTTAAAACCCTCCCCTGCCAAATCACTTGTCTGTATTTTGCCAGAGCCAGTTTTTCAGCTTTACCCCCACCAAAATCACAGGCCGAATGGGCAGCCATATCCTGCAAAATAAGTAGATGGAGAAGGTAGTGTATAATAAGAAATTACCTATGAATAGCAATATTTCCAACACAGAAAATTAAATGGTTCAGAAAATGATTGGTGACAAGAGTACACCATACCTTATCAAACCTAAGATGTAGAACAGCAAACTTTCCAGCTTCCAATTTGTTTCTTTCAGTTGTTTTCTGCAGGTATTCATTACCTACTAGTGCATTTCTGCCAGGAGGATGCCTAAGGCGACTGACAAGGGTTTCTCCCAGTTCTCTGATGTGAGGAACAAAGACCAAAGCTTGAAAGTTGACTTTACAACGTAGGCGTTGAATTTCCATAGGCAAGTTGTCGAAGGCCAAACGATGAGAGAACGGTGCAATGGCAGCAATACCATAACTGGACCAATCTCCAAGAATGTAAGATTATTATAATTATGAAAATGAAATTATTAATCAACCACAACTATCACTTAATGTTATATATGGCATGGAACAGCTATCTACACATGCAGGGTATTATTAGTGATTCATCAATCTGAAAATGATCTCTTGGCATTACCAAGATAAAAATGCCATTCGAATTAAGTGGTATCAAATTTCAAATTCAGGATGCAAAATAACATTTTTTTTTCAAAGGTAAATGAATTTGTATTAAAGAGGGAGAGCTTACCTTGAAATAAAATGTAATTACAGCCTGTATTCGTTGTATATATCTAGACAAAAATTACCATTTTTCACTTTTTAAATATCCTAAAAATTGGAAGCACTGTAAAACCAGGGAAGATCTAAGTGATATTTCAGTAGATGATTGAGATAATGAGGGGAGAAAGAAATGTTATTTGATAAAGGATTGCTAAGTTAGAATTCTCCATGTGGGAAGAACATAAAATGGAGAAATGGTAGGGCATAGTTCATCTTGGTATTCATCAACAGATTCAATCTTCTAAGATTCTCATACCTCTTATCAGTCAAAATAAAACCAAGTGATCACAACGTGCACTTAGTTCAGTTCACAAACAACTCAGCCGAATTATCCAAAAAAAAAAAAAGAAAAACTCAGCTGAAAGAAAAAAAAACCCAACTTTATCAGTAGAAGTGCATTCAGTCATGGAATGTAATGGATATCTTGGACTCAATAGGATTTAAATTTAAATCACAAACACAAATCTAACTATCAACTTACCTTTGTAGTACAGGCAAAACATTCTCCAGATACCAATTAGCTGAAGCATGAACAGGTGTTGTTTTTATTCTCGTAGCTCGAATAGCTGTTGCATAATACTCCCTAGTGCTCCATGAGTATTCTTTAGGCAGTTCTTTAACTATAGAAATTTCATCCTTCAGGACATTAATAAAGTGATCCACATCAAATATTTCTGAGAATGAGCTGCAGGACAAATGCATAGTCGGAGTTATGCCTCCTTGAACACGTTAACCAACTGGACCACATGCACAGTAAAGATATTTTCCAATCAAGTACCTTGAATCCTGCCAAACAGGATTTACTTCAAAGTGTGGGATCACAAGTGTTGCATTCAAGATTTTAGCAACAGCAACTGCATCACAAATCTATAAAATAAAAACAGGTTAGCCTAAAGAAAGTATATTATTTTTTGAGGCCAACAAATAACCATAAAACAAACATAATGCATAGAATTTTACCATCCATGTTTATCCCCTTGATCTCTATGTTAAATTTATTTTAGGGATAAACTTAGATTACCTACCCCCATTCTCTGCTGGTTCAGTCCTCCATCCAGAAATACCTGTATGTATCCCTGGGACTTCTCTGGAATCACTGCAAGAGAAGGCAAAGGAGTCTGTTGGAAAACAGGATCAATGCATGTATAAAACATTTTCCTCAAGAATCCCTATTCCATTACTCTGTCATATATGAATTGTTTGCAAAATCTCTTTCATCATTTGAGGCACAAACAGACAGAGCACTCACCAGAGGGATTTGCAGAATTGATGCAAGGTTTCCATCCTTGATCGGCTAAAGGGGACCACAGATCAGATTGTTGCCTGTCTGACTGAAGGTAAGGGAACAACAGGAAAGAAAAATAAAACATCAGCTCATAAGATCATCTTAGCCTCCTTTTGTTTCAATGTGAAAGGATGAAAAAACAAGTATTATGAAAATAAAGCTGAAACATCTTGGGTGCAATTGTTCTCCACCCTTTTATGTTGAAACAGATGGAGCATCAGGAATGAACATTTCATGGGAAAATATATACTCACTGATTGCCGTTGTAAAGCACCCTTCAGCAGAGGTAAATGTCTGGGTTTAGGAGCGTTCCATTCCTGCAAGATATGCCAACTCTTTGTTAGACGGAATAACAATAAGCCATTGCATGAAAAAAATGTGCATCAGTCATGAATCTATTTGTGCTAGAAGAGAGCCCCATATTCCATGGAGGAGTGACTAGATTTAGTTTCCTAATAAAAAGGAAACTGGACCAGTTATGAGTGAGTTTAAATTGCTCCATGTTAAAATGCTTTCTTTTTCTTTCTTTTTTTTTTTTCAAAACTTCAAATAAAAAAAATGTTTAGAGGGGCCAGCGGGAGCGGAGAGGAATTGTGACATGGACAACTCCATTTTAAATGTATAATAGATATGCATGGAGTAGTCCTGTTGATTTGCATTTTATAGAGGCATTAGAGATTACAAAATCAGCCTGCCAATACATGGTATACGTTGTGGTGTTCAATAATGGTACACCACCAATGCACAGTGTACATCTTTAGACAATTTAGGATTTCTGTATATGATGATGTTTAATTTGGTTGATAAGTAATGCACAGAGATTCAGAAATAAATACTTACTTTGGAAGAATCCATGCCTGAGGGTCCTATTAACTTGGGTCTGAACACATTCATGCACCAAATATTGCAAATTCAAAAACCCAGAAAACTACATAGTCCAAATAGGATTCTACTACCAATTTCCATTTGAATAACTTAACTAATTAACAAGAAAAGAGAGGAAAAAATAAATAAAAGAATGAAATAATTAGATAAGTTCCTAGTATGGTATCCAGTAACAAAAAAAAAAAAAAATCATTGATAATAGTTGGGAAATCGTTCTCGTAAACACTACAAAAGGCCCAGAGAAGTTTCTACGCTTTAAACCACGTGAATCAATTCCGTTCATTGGGCAAGTGGCAGAGCGACTCGTTCAACTCACTGAGTCCACCCGGCAAACCCATCCTGAAGCATATTCTCCATTCCCCCAACCCCCCAAAAAAAGAAAAAAGAAAAAAAGATCCTCTTTCCAATTATTCTATCTTTGTACCCTCAATTATAATGTAGTTTAATTTAAAATTTGTAAAAAAAGAAAAATTAAAAAATAAGCGTGTTTGGTAAGATCACTGGCTTGGCTTCCGAGTCAACACACCGAAGTATCAAACTGATAGCAATAAATCCCCGAATCATCAAATAATCCTGCAATTGCTCGGCTGCTAAGCTGAATCTCTTCATTTCTCTCCATAAAGAACATAGTCACAAACCCATCCACCCCCATTCACAAACACGATCACATACAGAAACACAGAGTAATAGAGTAAACTTGATAGAGAAGAAAGACGTACCGAGAAAACGGAAGGCGAGGCGTGGCTCAAGGGGCTGAAGAGATGAGGGAAGAAAACGGGGAGAAGCAGCACCAACAGACCTGCAAAGGTTCCTCTTTGAGAACTGACATTGTGGCGATAAAGCCTCATCGTCGCCGCAGCAGAGCAGCACTGCAAAGGTTCGTTTTGAGATCTGAACAAGACCCGCTTTCTGCAACTGGCTTATGGTGGTGGAAGCCCTAAACCTCTTCCTGGTCCTGGAAGAAGAGGAGGAGCAAAAGTTTACCCGGAGAGACGGCAAAGCAAGAAGAGTCAAGAGGAAGGTATCTTCACTTAGGCTGAGCTTGGCCATTATTGAATATTGATTGCTCCTCAGATGGGGATGGGAGGTGTCTCTTCGAGAGGGCCCCGGGAAAAAAGAAGACAGAGCGGCAACACGGGCATCACAGCACAGCTCGTGATTTTTAGATCAATAATATAATATAATCAATAATCTAGAAGAGCTTTGAGCAATAATAACACGCCACGTGATCTCACGAATTAACTAATCCGACAAGAAAGGCGATCGAATAGTTTGTTGTTGATGAGATATTAATTGTGAAAATAATGTTGAGCTATATCAGATCTGAGCTCGTTGCTAGCCATGTGTCGGGCAAGGCAGTTGTTTCAGAGAACCTCGACTCGAGTGATCCGATGAATGAATGAATGAATGCTCTCCATCTAATTCAAGGCTCTAGGGTAATACTAAAATGCACAGAAATATAAAAATAGGGTTTTGCAATGTTGATTCTATTATTATTATTAATTTATCAAAATTTAGGGGTGAAATTGATAAATATAAATTCGGGTATATATATAACTTCTTATGACGAAAGTAAATCCCATTCAAACAAATGCTCGTAATAAGTAACAGAAAGTAAGTACAACATGACTAGTAAACAACAAGAAGACATGGCATTCGCATCGTGATGGTAAAAAAATTAGACAAATGAATGGCCAAGATCATCAAAGTTCTATGTCGAAAAACTGGCTTTTACCCTTTGAAAAAATAAAAATGAAAAAACCTTTTCAAGAAATATACCTGGGCCAGCTGATTAATGTAGTCGGAGTTGACCCATTTTTTAATAATTAAGAAAAAAAAGGAACGTTAAAAATACAAACTTTAGGCTATGTTTGATTTGAAGGAAAAAGTAAGAAAACCTTTACAAATCTTGGATAGGTTTTGATATCTTTTCCTTCCTTTTCCTTCAAACCAAACATAGCCTAAGTTAAGAAACTTGATCAAAAGGAAGAAAATGGTTCAGGATCAATTGGCTCCTCCGAGAATATGTGCTATAAAGATAAGATTTTGATGCTTCACTAAGAATTGGGATTTGCTCCTCGCACAGCACACCTCGAAGCCCCATCCCACCTTGTATTGGGAACATCTCCCCACAAACAACAAGATAAAGTATGCAAGATGTTCCCGATGTGACCAGAAGCCCCAGAAAAATAAATTGCTTCTCTGTTATGTGATCTTGGTTGTAATACCTACCATAACCATAAGCTCAAGCTGATTCAGGAGGTCCTTCACATAAAAAGAGTGATTATTGATCAACGACTTGGGAAGGGGGGGGATTCATTGTATGATGCATGGTTCTTTACAAGAAATATTTTTTTGATGAATATCTTTACAAGAAATATTACCACAAAGGGCTACCTTCCTACAAGAAAAATATTAGCAAATCTCAAATCCTATGATTGGACACCCAACCCTTCTCAATGTAGAGCCGTGAAAAAAATATTCACAACACGGCAAAATCAGCAACCCCAGTAAGAAGACAAATACCCCTCTGATTACCCAAGTCGTGAATACTTCCTTCTGGCACTGACAGACCTCTTGCTTGTCAATTGTCACAGTTCTTCAAGGGGAGGCCCGAGCCTTGGCCGTTTTACAACTCTTTCATCTGAATCTGACAGTGGATCATTACTCCCTATTTCCACATGATTGGCCATAAAATCCAGGTTTTCAGTTGACTCAACCTCATAATGATGGGTCGGGGCAAGGGGATCTTGGCAAGTAATGGATCCATTATTCTCACACATTGTATCCATTTCTTGAGAATCCTCAACAATACAATTCTCCAATCTTTCATTGGAGGCTGAAGTTGGGCTTCCCGTGAGACACCAAATTTTTTCTGGTGAGTCTGCTGCTGGCTTCTCTGCCACTGTTTCCTCCGGCTGATTTGCACCAACAACATCCCTATTTTTAAAATGCTCACCCACCTCTATTTCTGATGAAATTTGTGCTTCACAACCAGAGGAATTAGGAGAGGAGCTTTCATCCTCATCTTTATCCAGTTGCATGCAGATTCTTGGATTCCAAAGTGTGCCTGTTGCTCCAAAATCTTTACAGAAATATGAGGAAGCCATGCAAGCTTCATTTGGCTGAAAGGCTTCACCTGATGGTGAGTACGCAAATTGTTTACCAGTTTCAGCATCCTGTAGTGCATCCTGTTTTCAAACACAACAAAGAAAATGGCAAAATAAATAAGTTGAACCATAAAGTTGGCTAGAGATGCTTCATCAATCTTATGGACCCTCTTAAAATGGTAAATGAAATAATTCCAATGCTCCCAGTACAAAGTGCATAATGATTCTGATCCACTTTATCCAAGCCAAGACTATGGAAAACTTTGTGGACATATCCATTCTGAGTTTTATTAGGTATTTTACATAAATTCCCTAATGGGCCTTGAGCGTGGTCTAATGAACTTAAAAGCTCAATGTTTTCTTGTAGAATATGTAGGTATTGTAGTAAACTCAAGAAAGATCCTTTTTTTTATTGGAAACGGTTCAAGAAAGAACCTTATCCTAACATGTTCTCGACTGTCATGCTAGACGACTGGCTTTGCTAATAAGCTTGTGGCACAGGAATGCACTTGGTGGAACCTTCATGTCAAGGAATATAAGTAGGAATTATGTAGAAAAGTAATCTGGTTAAAATGTAACCGTTGCTGCTTCTGAGACCTAAATAGTCCAAGTGTCCAACAAGGACCCTAACCACAGCTAGGCTTGACATGGAGACAGGCATTTTGCAGGGATTTCCTGTTGTCCACAGCAAAATGTTTCTGCACCATTGACTAAATAAGCAAGAACCAAGCTGTGTTGCACTGCATATCTAAGTCAGGATCTTTAATGGTATCAGACTACACTCAGCAATCTTTGTCCTTCAACTTTTCCTTTGCCAAACATCCTCTCAACAAAGTTTCCCTTCCAAAGAAGTCTGGTGTGGGCTGGTTCTCCCCAAGGTTATGGCTTTGTGTTGGAAAGTGTGGCATGGTAAAGTAAACACAATGGCTAACTTACAAAAGAGAAGACCCTTCCTTTGTATTTCACCAAACTGGTGAAATCTTTGCAGATCTCATGGTGAGGATTGTAATCACTTATTTTTATCTTGTAGTGTAACTGCAAAGCTCTAGGTTTGACTTCTATCTTTGTTTGGGTGTAGTTGGGATATGCCAGCAGAAGTAAGCACAATCTTTAACCCTTCTATGTTCTCTTGGCCCCATAAAAGAGGAAGGAAAATGTGGTGTGTGCGAGCAGCCTTGTTATGGACAGTTTGGGAAGAAAGGAATGCCAGGATCTTCTAGGAAAAAGGAAGGAGCAGTCAAGCCTTGAAGGACTGCAATATGTACAGGTCAATACATAGGTTAAAGACTTTGGAATTGTTTAATCATTTCTCCTTTACTGATTGTTGGAGGGATTGGTTATCAGTAGCAAGCTGTTCCTCCTCCAAGGTAAGGGTATTGACTAGCTGGGTCCCCCCTCTCAGTTCATTGAAGCTGAATTTTGATGGGAGCAGCCAGGGTAACCTGGGTCCCTCTAGGTTGGGAGGTGTACTGAGGAATGAGGCTGGAGAGGTTGTTTTACTCTACTATGGCCCATTAGGTGTTAAGAACTCTATTTGGACAGAGCTGTTAGCTGCAATACAAGGAATACTTCTTGCAAAAGAAATGGGTGTGGAGTGGCTTCTGATTGAAGGGGATTGTAAGAGAGTGGTGGACTGCTTAAATAATCCAAAGGATGTCACTTGGGTCTACAAAAATGAGTTAAAGAAATTCAAATGGCTGACAAGGAATATGTCTGTAATAGTGTATAGTGGGTTGGGAGATCAGCTAATGCATTTGCTGATATCTTGGCAAAACAAGGGACAAATAGGGAAACATTGTTCTGGGCACAACTGTAACTTTTGTTTTAACATTCATGTACTCTTTGATGTAGTTTATGTGTTTTCTGTTTGGAGAGGCGGCACCTCATGCCTCTCTAACGGGATTTTCATGTAACCAATCTTTGAATTAATGGAATATGATTTTTATTTATCAAAAAAAAAAAAACTTTGTCCTTCAACTTTTATGAAGAATACAAACTTTTCTCTTTTACACAAGGAGGTAGCTTGCACATTCTTAGAGTTAGGACCACTTTACTATCAAGTGAATCAGGCTCATAGATTTGTTACTTCCAAAATGATACGGGAGGTGTGTCAATTAAATAGAAAGTTTGGGTGGCATCAAGAAATAGTAAATACCTCAACTGGTGATATAGCAGAGTTTAGTCTTTGCAAAGGTTCCGCCTGATCAAAAAGCTGATATTGCCCATCAGGGAATGATCCAGCAGAAGCTCCTGGTTCAAGTAACTCCCTGGTGCATTGAGAACCACCAAGAGATGATGCAGACAACAGTTTGATTTCAATACCTCGTTCAGCAGTGGAACAAGATGAACTAATATCAGATGGCTTTACTGGGCTAAGTTTCTCAGAGAGAAACTCCACTGTATTTTCAGTATCATTATTTTTTTTTAGAAATTCAGAGTGATTCTCATCACCACAAGCAGTTGAAGGTACTTTCTGTAACTGATCTTCAAGGATTTCATGGATTATTTTCTTAATATATGCACGTTTCAGAGATGCCTCAGAAGGTAGAAACCAGTCCATGTTAAGCTGTAAAAAACACAAATGTAACCAAGGCAACTTAGAACATAAAAAAGTAGGAGGAAAATCAAAACGAGGAAAAAAAGAGAAAAAAAAACACAGCCACCCTCTTTTTGTTCATTGGTGTGTGTGTTAATGATATTGAGGGAATTCTTTGTTTACACAAATCAAACACAACATTCCAACAGAAATCATCATAAGGTGTTTGGTTAGGTTGAGTTAACTAAAAGGTCTCATTCTGCAACTATCCAATTCTAATCCTCACTCCCACAAGCAGTTCAATCTATAGCTACAACATAAAATAATTAAACCCAACTTCAAGTTAAACATGCATGTCATCAATTAAGCCTTAACCTAGCTATTTGATAGAGGTTATAGTTCTGCACGATAGTCTGAAGCCCAAAAGGGGAACACTATTGTTAGGTCGTCTTGGTGTAAATTGCGCCCAAGCATATTAACAGACAAATTAAGTTCAAGCATCTGCTTAAAATGCAGAAAACACTTACAAAGTTGCAGAGCTTTGTTATTCTGAAAGGGTTGAAGTTGACTGGAGCTTCCTCCAAAAACAATTCTACATAATGGAGCAGGAACAAGCCGCAATCAAATGAATTTTCCTGCTGTGGAAGCTGAAATAAATTGGAAAGTTAAAGGTAGCATAACACCATCTTCATGAAATTAAAAAGGAAAAAAAAAGAAATAATAGACGCCTTGAAGATTTTAGTGTATTTGACATTTTGACTCATTAAATATGTAAAAATCTTGTATCTTTTGGAGGCTTACTCTTTTGCATGCATGCACAACAATCAGCTAGAGCATCACATTATAAAATTAAAGTTAGATATTCCAAATCTGCTGATCCCAAAAAAACAGAAAGAAGAATAACAAAAGGGAAAAAATAAGAAAAAGGAGAGAAATGTAAATATATTCTGAAGTTTTTTTTTTTTTTGTTTTTTGGTAGTAGTAGGATCTGAAATAGTTGTTTTGGGTAGCTTTGTAGTCAATTTGGGCCCAAAGGTAATTACATCATTTTATTTTATTTTTTGAAAAAGGTAAAGTAATTTTATTGAAGAATGAAGAAAAGATACAGCAGAAGTCAGACCACTATGGGAATGACTAGACATAACAGAAGTTACAGCCGCCAAAGGGACTGAGTCCTGAGCTCCTGGGCTACATTTACATGATTAAATGCTGGATTAACAGCAACCCAAGACACCAACTTGCTGACTGCACACTGCACAATCTCAACAGGAATTTTCTTTCTACTCCTGAAAACTCTCCTATTTCTCTCGGTCCAAATAGCCCAAAGCACAGCTGCAGGGATGGCCTTCCACACCAGCTTTCCTTTTTTGTTCAAACCCCTGATCTTCCAGAAACATAAGAGATCTTTGATAGAATTAGGCATAACCCAATAGACTCCCACAGCACTAAGAAAGTGAAGCCACACCTGGGTAGTTACTGGGTAGTGTAAACATAGATGCTCTGTAGTTTCAGGCTGCTGACCACACAGACCACAAGAGATGTCTGTCAATTGAACTCCTCTTCTTATAAGATTGACTTTAGAAAGACATTTGTTGAGGGCCATAACCCAAACTAGGAAGTTGACTTTTGAAGGGCTAATTGGATTCCAAACCTGTTTATTTGGAAAGTTCACAGCACCTGAACTATTAAGCTTGAGAGCCATAGACTTAACCGAAAAGCACCCATGGTCATTACAGGGTTGGTTGAGAATGGTATGCGAATTTTGAAATTCAAACTCAAAACTTGCCTTAAAGATGAGAGAGAGAGAGAGGAAGTAATTAATGAGAAGGATTAGCAATAAAAGAAACACTAATGAGAGAGGAAGTAATTAAAGTAATTAATGAGAGAGGGAGAGTAATTAATTAGAAGGATTAGCAATAAAAGAAAGATTAATGAAAGAGGGAGTAATTAATGTAATTAATGAGAGAGAGTAATCAATTAGAATGATTAGCAATAAAAGGAAGGGGAGTTAGTGATTCCTAATGTATTGGCCAATACATTAGAGTATCAGTTCTCATCAGGTTCATATCAGCCAATATAGACTCGAAACGGTCCGACAATGGGCCCATATTGGCCTGATACATACAAAAAGTTCTGTGTATTGGGCCTTTAATCGGAACGATACAGGCCAATATGTAATGAAATTTTGAACCTTGCCTGCGTGATGCTCTCTATTTCCCTAAACTCATGCCAGATCCATGGCACTAACTGTTTATTCTTGGCCCAAGAAATGATCAGTTTTGAATCTCCCTCTACTTCCAAGTGCTGAAAACTTGATTGATTAGCGAGTAACTATGTCATTGCCACATTCCAGTAACATAGTAGTTAACTAAAAAAAATTAACCTCCATGACATCATTTTTTTTTGTTCGCATCAAATAACCAAGCAGCAGTTGAGCTTATGTGAAAAGATCCTTATACTTCTATTGTTCACTTCTAATCATTAATGAAGCTTATCTTAACAACTAAAAGGAAATAATCAACCTAAATAAAATGCACATTTCAAGAGTGTACTAACATGGATAACTGAACTTCAGATAATAGAACATTTCATGCAATCTAAATGGGAAGAAGATAATGATTTCGTCTATTTACTAACATTCTAAGAAGCTCAGACAGTCAACTGAAATACCTCCAATGGAATAAACCGCAAATTAATGAATTTTGATGAAGCATCCTCAAGTGACTCATTTTGCCTTGCTTTCCACTCTTCCCATAAGTAACTGTTCTCTCAAGGTAAAGAATGGACCAGTAATAATTGTCAACACAAGATTATTAGAATGACAGAAATACATTTCCAATAAAAAGGAATTGCCATCCAGAATAATATTCTAGGCTTCTGGCATGAATCTGAAGCATTAGGCTCAGATTAAATGTGCAGATTTTAAGATAAAGTCTAGAATAAGGTGCAATTTCAAAAGCCACCTTCAACCCATTTCTACAATTATGGAACTTAGCAGAACTATCATAAACGCAGTTATACAAGTTTGTGGAATTTATGCAGTCAGATTTTAGAATCCTGATTCTAAAATATGAACTTCTAGAGGGATTTTAGGATGCTACCCAAACAGACCAAAGTTAGAGCAGAAAAGAGTTGAGGCCAATAGCACATTCAGTCTAGTCTTATGACTCTTATCATATATAGAAGTCAATTAAGCAAACTTTGATGGCTGCACCCTAGGCAACATGAGAGAGGAGCTATTCTGGCTGTGTTCTCTGGACCAATTGGTCAAGGGAATGCCATCAATATGGAATTTCAAGCTGTTTTGTATGACTCAGCTGGGATAGCGTTCAACTGCACTAATTGGTCATGGGAGTTGATTCTAAAACAGTAGTGTGTTGGCTGAATGAAGAAGCAAAGAACCATAGAAGTATGAGTATATATATAAGGGAGCTAAGGAGATTGGCAAGAGGCTTAATCATCAATAAATCTTGAGCACAAAGAGCAGAAAATGGATCGGCAGATGCTCTATCTAAAAGTGGGGTTAACAAGTCTGAAATATTTTGGGAACAGTTATAAAATGTAATATCGAATGTAGGGTTCAGGTAGCGAGTCTGACCTGAGAATAGGGCTGCTAGGCAGCTTTGTAATATTATGATTTTTTTCATAATCAATCAAATTTCAGTTTTCCATTAAAAAAGTAAGTCCATTAAGCAAAATAAAATAATTATTAAAATGAGTAAATATAATCCTTTTATATTTTCAGTTAAATACACTATTTATCAAGTATATTTAGTAAAGAACAGCTGGGTTGTAATATCTCATAAGACAAACTTAGCAGCAAGGCTTTATAACATGAAACTAGGTGACCATCCAAAGTTACTTCTTTCTAGTTCAGGAAATAAGCTGAACTTCAAGGGTTTCCAGTTTCAAAATTGCATGTTATCTTACTTATGCTTATGCATAATGAGAAGTTAGGAATTTTAGGACATGAGAAAGAAGCAAGGCATCAGGGAACATCAAAAAGCCCTGGTTTATAACAAAAATATAGAGAAGATGGTCTCACCCACAATAACTAATTTGATAGACTTCACTAACTGCATAAAGCGTTGTATCAATTTAACTAACTTGATGAAACTTGCCGGATGCTACGGGTGCACCCATAGCAATAAGATAGGGAAGCACTTCACAATGTAATGGCTAGCAAAGTTGCTTTCTTTTCTTTACTTTTTTTTTATGGGTGGGGAGTGGAGACTCACTGATATGATTAGGCTTGCCAAACATTTGGCCCAATTTTCCTCTAGAATGCACATGATTTTACATACCAAGCAGTGATTTAAAAGGCACAACTAGGCGCACAGGTGAGGCGCATTTTAGGGTATGTGCCTTGCCTAGGTCCTAGGTGCAGCCCTTTCAAAAGGTGCACGCCTAGTGCGCCTGGTGTGCCTAGCGCCTCAGCCCATGCGTGTGCCTTTTTAAAAATTTTATGCTTTTTTGCTTTTTTTGAACCTAGCGGCTGGGCAGCTTTTTCTTTCTCTTTTTTTGTATTTTTGCGCCTTGCTTCAAAAAGGTGTGTGCCTCAGGCACAGATTGCCCCTTGCGCTTTTAAAACACTGATACTAAGGCATGTAATATAAAACAATGTCCCAGGGCTTTATGCTTCAGACCAGATAGTCAAATATCAACTGGAAACCCTAGGCTCAGTTTGGGAGGAGTGAAAATACAAATATGTTCAGTGCAAAACCTTGTATACGGTATTTCTAAACCTTCTACTGTACATATTTGTATCTGCGGAGCCTAATGAAAAAGGCAACAACAAAATGAAAGATTACCTTTGAACAAGATTTTTGAGGCCTTTATGACTTCCTTTGATAGAATCCATGTGCAGTATGCATGGTACCTTCAGGGACTTGTTAGCATCTTCATCTGAAAAAAGAATAAGTGGGCAAGATGGCATAAACCGTTGGTCCACTAGAAATGTATATTGCAATTTAGCATGAACTTACCTTTGAAATTAACCACTTCACCAGGATGGCAGATGACTATCAAGCTCCAATGAAGACTGTCAATCAAAATGCATAAATAAACCACATTAGTTATAACCTTTGCTAATGGCTCAATGGTTGGGATCAATTCCTTGCAAAAAAAAAAAAAAAGTGCAGCACTAATCACTCACTTGAAGTTTACAGGAATAAAGATGTAATCCTTTTCAAATAGATTGATTTTCCTTGTCCATTTATGAACACGTTGAAAAGCTGCCCTGCCTTCAGAAGCACTAGATGGATCTTTGTCCATATCGGCCAGCTTGCGAAAGAAAAAACTATTAAAAAAATGGAACCTGTTCTTGTCCTCAGGTTGAATTTTATTCTTCAAATATCTGTCAATAATTTAAAACATTATATTAATATGTGTACAATAAATATATCTTTTAAAAATTAAAAATTGAAGCCAAACCCACAAGGGGTGGATAAAAATATAATAATTTGCATACATGATTGCAGGACTTCCTATGGAATTAAAAAAATGAACCACGCAATCAAATTTGTCAATTTCATAAACCAATGCTACAAACAATGTTCGGAAAATAAATATTGTATCTTAAATTGTAGGAGATCTGAAATTCCTTTTTGGACTTGTGTTGGCCAACAGAAATGCTGTAACATTGCACCCTGTGTACTACAGCCCAAATTTGCAAGATTTACAGCCCCACAATGGTTCCATGGTTTGAAAATATATTTGTTCTTTTTTGTTGTAACATTTATTTTTAATAAATTATTAACTATGCCCAAAAATGTAAATGACACTGAATGGAGGAATGGTGGAACAACATTCATGTAGCCAACCCCATATAATTGGCACAAGGCTTAGTGAGTTGAATTGGGTATCAAATATGTCCAAAAATCTAAAAAGCAAAAATTGTGCAACTATTTCTAACCTATAAACAACATATTAATAGTTTTTATCAATAATTTTACTGCTTATAAATTATGAAGAATAGATGGCATAACCAAATTAAACCTCAAACTTCATACTTGATTGAGCCATAATCCCATATGCATGCTTCCTTTAATTCATGAGCTATGAGAAAGATGCTCAGAACACTACAAAATCAAAAGAGTGATAGCACTCCTAATCCCATCATAACTCAAAAAATGAAGAAACAATATCCACCAAAATAAATGAAAAAATCATCATCATCCAAGCCTTATCCCAACTACATGGAGTCAACTACATGAATCCTGTTTCGCCATTCTGTTCTGTTTAATGCCATATTCAATTGTCAAATTATTAGCACTTAAATCATTTTTACTACTTTGAGCCTTTGGTCTACCCCTACCCCTTCTAGCCCCTTCAAATTGCAATAGATCACTTCTTATGGTGCTCTCAAAGGTCTTCTATGCACATGAAAAAACCATCATAGTCTACTTTCCCTCATCTTATCATCTACCAGAGCTACTCCTAGGATCCTTTGAATGACTTCATTTCTGACCCTATCCTTTCTGGTTTTCCACTCATCCATCTCAGCATATTCGTTTCTGCCACACTCACTTTTTGGACATGTTGCTCGACTTGCTTCTTGACTGCCCAATACTCTGCTCCATACAGCATACCTGGTCTTAAAACTGTTTTGTTGAATTTTCCTTTAATCTAAGTGGTAATCGCCTACCACATAAGATTCTAGATGCACCCCTCCATCATCTCTCCCTTGTTATTAATTATAGAAACAAGGTACTGGAAAAGTTCTCATGAAGTTATCTCTTGGTTTCCAATCTTTAAGTGTACCCTGATATGCACTCCTATTATTATTAAACTTACAAATCATATATTCTGTTTTAGTCCTACTTCTTTTAAAAGACTATTGTTTATAAGGTATTTGTGCATAAACTTAATTTTGCATTTAATCCTTCATTTATTTCATAAATATAGTCAGTTGACAAGAAGATAAAGAAGGCAAGATAGTGTTGCAAAGAACATGACAATAAAATTGCAAGCTTGGAAGTTGAATACACAGAGGCACATACATAGAATGAATAATATGGATATTTCCCTTAATTTTAAAGACAGACTTTTTTTGGTGAATCAAAAAAAATTCCAAGTCTGTCTATTTTTTCCTTGACCTAAAAACAAACGCTAAAGACAGTATCAAATTTCAACTAAAATTTGAAGTTCCCATGATTCTTTCAAATTGGTATTTGATTAGAAAATACCAAATCAAGTGAGTCTATGAAACAGGATTGATAGACCTAGATGGGTCGTGGAGGAGAAGGCCCTTAGTTTCTTCACTATCATCTTAAGGAGCAACAAGCTTACAGAAAAAAGACGTACTTTTTTCTCTTGGGTGAGAAGATTAGCAAATGAGCTAGCTCTTTTTTTTTTTTTTATCGGTAGCAATAAAAATTTATAAACAGAATGTACAAAGCAATCTACCCAAGATTATTCTTGCTAAGCCATCTGCCATGCTGTTTGCACATCTAATCACTGAAAGTTGGCATTCAGTTCTGCTGCTAATGATCTGATCTCCTTTTAAGTGGATGTATACTTCCATGTTGCTTTATTGAAAAGTAAAATGAAATTTTACTAAATGTGAAAAGAAAGATACAATCCAATAGGTGACAACATGGCACCAAACTTGCAAAACAAAACAGCTTTGAGCTAAATATCACAAACTTGCAAACTCTTCCCCTTCCCAAAAGAACAACCCCAGGGAGTTGCCCACTATCACTTCCCTTTCCACAAGCTTACTAATTTCCATTTCCCCGTTCCAGCTTAACTCCAGCCCTCCCTACTTCTCACCCCTTCTCTCCTCCTCCTCTGCCCTCTCCCCTCTCTGTTCCTCTTGCCATTGTTCCTTATCCCTTGCCCCTGACTCCTTTCCTTCATTGGCAGCTGATTCACCTCCCTCCAATCTTCTTTTCCCGTTATAAACTTTCTCCAATTTGTCTACCCTCTCCCCCTCTGAAGAGTGCTTTCTCTTTTTTCCGTCAACCCTTCCTCCTTTCCCCATCCTTTTTCCTACCCCCAGCTGACTCTCTCCCTCCACCTTAGAAGTTAAAGCATCGGAGGTTTCAGTGATGCGTACCTCACCATCGACCTAGACTATCTTGTCCGCAGCCAACCCTTTCCCACACAATATCCACTTCTCTGCCTAGCACCACACAAGACTCTCCCTTCAACCTCAACTTATCCAAACCAGGCAGAGCTCCTATTGTCGTCTACAAGGACAAGTCTTGCTTCAACGCTGAGCTCACTTCCTAATTCTAGAACTCAATGATGTCCGCCTGGTCTTGGCGAGCTACCGTCATTGTCTTATTTGTTTCATCTGACTTTCCTCCTCCCCTTCGATCGCCAGTGTTGTCTACTCTCACAATCTTCTTTCCCCCCTCAAACCGAGCTATCACCCAAACCCAGTCGTCAACCTGTTCTTTTAGTTTCCTACCCTTCAACCTATTTCATAAAACTCTTTTTGCTAGCCTTTTCCCGATTATACCCCTTTCCCTCATTCTCAACCAAACCAATTGATGGCCCAGTTTGACTTTGGCTGACCTAGCATAATTAATGTGGGCCCTAGTGAATTCGGTCCTCCCCTTATTTCATCAACTTCTTACTCTTTCCTTCTTTTACTTCACCCAAACCCATGTGAATTCGGTCCTCCACATGTCCCTCCTTCATTCCTATTTGAAATGCCAATCTTTCCCTTCTCACCCCCCACCTCAGCATCTTCTCCTACCTTCGACCAACGATTCACCTTCCCAACTTCATCTCTGATCTCACTCTGCCCTCTCTCCNNNCCCTTCCTCACCCCCCTCCTTTCCTTCTGCTCCCATTACCACAACATAGTGGTGTTCCATCTTCTCCCTCCACCAATAACCTCAGCTCATCCTCCCCCCCACAAGCTTTAATTTCATTCTATTTGGGATACTTGAAACATCGCTTACATCAACCAGCAGCCTCACCCTATCCAACCTGTCCCAGGTCCTGTTTTTATCGTCGAATCTCAGAAATCTCCCACACTGCTTTCCTATTTCTTCAAATGTAACTATACTTCCATGTTGCTTGCACTCTATTTCTTAACCAATCCACTACTACCTTCAAGTCCCCTTCCACGATAGTTTTAGATTTTTTCCTATCTTCAGCCCTTGCAAAACTGCCAACAGTTCTGCCTTTTTGAATCTTAAAACCCAACAGACCACGAGTAGCCATAGCATTCCCACTAGCATGCCTGAACACTCCCCCAGTTCCTGAAAGCCCCAGGGTTGCCAAGGCTACAACCATAAGAATTCATCTCAATGTAAGACAGAGCAAGTGGCATCCACAAGCCCCTTGCTCTAAACCCGTAGTAGACAAATTGGCAATGATTTGCCAACTTCCAAGAATTTCAGCATAGGATACAAAGGTAAATGACTGAAGAGATATCACCCAATGCACAACCCTTGCCATAATTGATGCCATCATTGCTTCTGATGGTTGGCATTTATCAAGGAAAATCTTCTTGTTTCTTTCCTCCCAAATTGTCCATAAAACAGCCATTCGTGTGCATCTCCATATGCTTTACCTCTCTTCCATGGAGATGAGAAAAATGAGTTTGTGAAGAGGCTCTCTAAATCTGATGGAGGATTCCACCTACAGCCAAATAGAGACAAGAAATAGTGCCAAATAGTAGAGACAAAAAACAGGAGATTAGAAAGTGTTAGGCAGTCTCACAGCTATCGCTGCAAAAGGAAACACAAAAGAAGAGACAAAGGCTAGCTTGGAATTTTCTTTTGAATGACATCACAAATGTTGATTTTCTTGCATACTACTTCCCAATAGGAGGCCTTTACTTCCGGGTTCAAAGCATCGGTATTGAGTATCATATCAATAAGCTTGGATATGGATACAGGAACAGATACGCTATGGAAATGCATGGATATGGTGGAAAGATATGGATTTGCTTGGATACATTAGGAAAACTCCTATAAATCCGACAAATACATTAATAAAACTATATTTGAGATTGAAATAACCATAAATAAGATATAAATACATTGGAAATGCATATTTTAAGATACATATGAAGAAATACATCAAATCAATATGGTGGCGTACGTAGATATCATACAATTTTATTGATAATGCATCGATTAAGAGTCAAAGACACATTATATAATTTTTTACAAATTACTAGATGCATGAATTTATTATTTATTTAAATTGAACTATCAAATAAGGGATAAATACATGGTGCTTTATGTTATTTAGCGGGCTAGGAGCTTAATTTAGAAACATGTAAGACAGATGTAAGAGTAAGCCCATCAAAAACCATAATATCACCCTTCCCCAAAACAGGAGCAAGAGACCCATCATCTATAGAAACTTTATCCCTAACCCGAACACGGTAAGAATGAAACAAAGTAGAGATACTAGTCATATGATCAGATGTTCCTGAGTCCACGATCTAGGGACTCTCTAAATTACCGGTTACTGAAGCTAAATTGGCATTTATTTTTATGCAAACTACTCTTTTCTACTCTAATAACCTGATAGAATTCTCTGGATCCAATTACCACTAAACAAGACTAAATTAAAGGGACAAAACCAAACAAAGATAGTCACCCAACCACATGTTTTCCCAAAATTTATTTTTATGACCAACATAAAGTTATTTTCCCCCTGAATACCCACCTCCCCACTGGAAAGTCATCTGAAACTGCTCCAGAGAGTAAGGCAGGAGGGAAAGGGGTGAGTGGAAAAGGGATGAAGAGAAAGACAAGGAACAAATCAATCTCATAGCAGTATCACTGAGAAATTTATAACATTACAATCACCAAAAATGAAATAAATGGACGATGTAGGAGAACATAAAAGGTTTCGAGGGAAATCTCAATCATGTTTCAAAATCAAAAGGATCATACTGCAGCAGACAAATAACTCTAGCAGGCTGTAGTTTATAGGAATGCTTTTCTTTTCTTTTTGTTGAAGTATGGATTATGGAAAGTTGAAGCAAACGATAAACATCATCAGAAGAACTAATGGAGCTTCTAAACTATACTTACTTGATATAAAAATCAACGATAGTATCATTGATGAATGTCTCTGGTTGTAACAGTTCAACATCTCTCTTACTAATAGAAACAGCATCAGGATCGCCTTTTGGATAGATAACTTCTTCAAAAGTCTTGTCGAAACTGGAATTTTAGATCTATCAGTATAATATATATGATACAAGAATGTTAATGTTTAACTATGCAATAAGCACATATATGGTTTTCTTCATTTTTAAAGGGAATGCAAGGAAGAGGCGTTAGATTAATAAAGAAAGCACAAAATGATATAAAATCATAAAGGTGATTGTCAAGAAGTCAAGAGTACATGAACATGAATCCATACCCAAGCAGCATAACCATATAGCAACGCAGAAAGACATTCAATTTGTAAAGATTACCAGCTAACATCTCTTCCAATTAGAAAGCCTGAATAGCTTTTTCAAATGGATTGCATAATTAATTAATTCCCTTGCATATATCCTAGCTAGAGGGAGTGGGGAGACAACTCTATGCATTGGAGAACTACCATACAAGAATAGCTTAAGAGTGTATTTCTGGGCTGATATAACATGTTTTTTATTTACATAGCATAGTTAGGGAGTTATTGGGCCTTAGGCTCATTAGTTTATGTTTTAAGTTAAAAGTGTTTTTAAGTTCTCACAAGTAGCGGACTTACTAAGGGCATACTTGTCTTTGTACTCTCTTTTATTTATGACTATGAGTATATAATCTAATGAAAGGGGTGGCCAGACCTAATTCTGAGCTTCTCCCATTCTCTTTTATCTCTCTTCTCTCTCTTTCTCAGTTGAAACATTTTCTTCTCTTTCTTTTCTTCTTTCTTTTACAGTTTTTATACCAAAACAAGTTGTCCAAACTTTTCTACTTGGTACTAGAGCAAGTTTAAAGATTTGTTGAGCTGCTCCATCATGCGGCCCTAGATTGGCCAACTGCGTGATAAGGTAAAGGGCTGATCGAAGACTTCAAGTAAGCTCAATTTTTGTATTTTTTTTTTTGGTGGAATTGCAATCCCTTGTAGCTAGTCTAGGGTTTTACACCAAAATCAAGAAGAACTGGAGAAAAAGGGAGAGTCCCGTTTTAGTAGGGCTCTTCAATTTTGACCTAGGAAATGGTGCTCTGGTTTCTAGGGTTCCTTGAGGATTTCGGAAGGGGGCGGTTCAAGTCCCAGCCTTTTTGGAGGTCTCTGGAGGGAGCGGCAACCTCTTCTTTCTCTTCTCCCGCTCCTATAGAAAAAGGAATCTTTGAAGAGAGGGGCTTCTAGGGTTCCAAGAGGGTGTTTGAGGTTTCTAAAGGAGATAAATACCCTTCTTTTCTCTCAAATTGATTTCCTAATCTATTCTGGGAGTTATGGAGGGTTGTGGATTTGAAAACAAATTTACAGGAGAAATGGGATCTGGGGGAGGAGGTGTTGGAGACCTCTTTAGGGCTGGAACCATCACTACAGTCAAGTTGGATTGCACAAACTACTTAGAATGGTCACAATCTGCAAAGATGGCCATTGGTGCTCATGGAAAATTGGGGTATGTCACCGGTGAGAAAAAGAAACTTGAAACTAATCATTCCCGGTGGGTATAGGAGAACTACATGGTGATGACTTGGCTATGCAAGGTACAGGTGGATAAGGAAGTAGTCATTGTACCTCGTTTGCACATACAAGTAGTTCACATGCCACTACAAATTATGTATCCACTATAAGTAAGGGGGACCTCCCTGGATTATAGACTCAGGAGCCTCAGAACATATGACCAACATTTCCACCATTTTCACTCATTCCACCTCTTCTCTGGTAGAGATATGGATCACATGTTCCCGTTGCTGGGAAAGGGTCTGTTAGGATAACTAATACCATTACCCTACCTTCTATCCTTCATGTTCCTACACTGAGCACTAATCTTTTATCTGTTAGTAGCTTGACAAAGAATTTGAATTGTTCAGTGATTTTTTCCCCTAGTCATTGTGTTTTGTAGGATCTGGAATCAAAGAGGACGGTTAAGAGTGGTTGTGAGGTGAATGGAATCTATCTTCTTGATGCGCTTCCTAGTCATCAGAGTCATCATGTCAGTAGGAGTATTGAGTTAGAGCCATTGGGTCAGATTATGCTTTGGAATAACCGGTTAGGACATTTGTCTTTTGCTTCTTTGCGTTTTTTGTTTCCCAAATTGTTTGAGTTTGTCAGTTTGTCCAATTTGGAGTGTGAGGGCTGTCAACTTGGAAAGCATTGTAGACATTCCTTTAAAGCAAGTAATAAAAGATGTTCTTCTGTTTTTGATAATATTCATACTGATGTGTGGGGACCATACTGTGTTTCCTCTATGGGTGTCTATCGGTATTTTCTTTTGTTTGTGGATGATTATTCTCGATATTCTTGGATATATTTGATGAGATCCCATGATGAGGTACTATCTTTGGTTCAACAATTCCATCAAATGGTACTGACACAATTTGGGGCACGAGTTAAAGTGTTTAGATCAGACAATGCTAGGGAATACTTTGGAAAAAAACCTGGCATCATACCTATTGGAGCATGGAGTCATCCATCAGAGTAGTTGTACATACACTCCATAATAGAATGGTGTAGCAAAAAGGAAGAGCGGACATACTGTGGAAGTAGCAAAAAGCATGATGTTGAGCTCTACAGTTCCAATTCGTTTTTGGGGTGATGCAGTTCTTACAACAGTGTTCTTGATTAACCGGGTGCCTTCTCGTGTTCTTGGATATAGCACTCCGTTCAACCTTCTTTTTCCAGAGGGGGAGACATTCCATATTCCTCTAAGGGTGTTTGGATGTGTATGCTTTGTCCATGTTCTTGGTCCTCGCCGTTCAAAGCTGGATCCTAAGGCGAAGAAGTGTGTCTTCCTTGGGTATGCAGGAAATCAGAAGGGGCATTGTTGTTATGATCCAGTCTTCGGGAGTCGGTATGTTACCATGGACGTCACCTTTTTTGAGTCCACACCTTTTTTCTCAGGGGGTTCTTCTTTTTTTTATCAATAACAGAAACTTTATTAAGAATTATGAAGCTTTAGGTACAAAAAAGGGGGAGATAAAGAATCTTATCTCCCCATCAGAAAATTACAATGAAAGAAGATTAAAAAATAGCCCAAAAAATAGCCTCCCTATTCACCCCTTGCTTGGCCAACCCATCTGCAAAAGAATTAGCAGTCCTTTTCACCCAACTGTATTGTATCTCAATGCCTCTACATAGCCATAAGAATTTTTTCTTTTCATTTGAAAGCTGAACCACTGTAGCCGAAGTAGCAGAAAAGAGGAGAAGAAGAAGAGATGTTGGAATGTCGAACTGTACTAGCCAGTCAACCATGCTATTATTTATATTTGAATATAGTACAAGATACAAGAAATTATTGGAATGCCCCTGATTAGTGATGGGACACCCAGTTAACTTAAAACATAMAACAGGCTTAGGCCCATTAACACAGGCCCAGTTACAGGATAACTTAAACTTAAGTATGGACTAATAAGAACTCTTATTAGCCGAACACTCATACAAAGAGACATCATCCTAACATTCTAACACTCCCCTCAAGCTAAGCATGGATATCAATCATGTTTAGCTTGCCAAGTATGTCCCTGAACTTTGTTGTTGCCAG